GATCCAGATACCGTTCCGAACTGATTTGGGTCCGCTACTTTTTCCACGGCCGGTTTAATGAAGTCAGAAACTATAAAATCCTCAGCAAGTTTTGATAACGCAGGTGTAAGTGAAATTGGCCTTAGCTCCTTCTTGGGATCAGTCACTTGTTTTACCTTTGGGAGGGGTGTTATATTCGCCAATTTCCAAACTGACGCCAATTTCCAAACTGACGGCAATTTTTGTTCTTTGTAGGAAGTGTTCAAAATGTCCGTTATGGGCTGTGCTAAAATTTCGGCGTATTCCTTTAGAACCCAATTAGGTATGCCGTCCGGGCCAGGAGCTTTGTGTTTGTTGAGGCGTTTCAGATTAATGTACACTCGATGTGTTGATATTTTAGGGAATTCGGCACCTTCTCCTGTAGGAAGGAGAACAGACGTGTTTTCACAGTTGATAGGCTGATAAGACTGGAGCGGTTCTAGAAGAGCTTCATTTATTGCACTGGCGATTTCTTGGGGGGACATGTTGGTGAATTGCTGTACATCGAGGGAGGACAGTAAATTGGGGTTTTGTTTTTTGGATCCACTCAGTTTATTTATCTCTTTCCACCACTGACGGGGATTCACACCTTTGAGATCTTGCACTTTTGAAGTATAGTAGGCTACTTTGCATAGTTTCCTTTCTCTATTGACAGCATTGCGGTAGAATCTGAAAACTGGACCCTTCTTGTTGGAATGAAATGCATTTTGACGCAAACGAATCAACTCCTTGAGTTTTATTGTCATCCAAGGGGCGTCCTTCGGGTAAACTTTAATCGACCTTTCTGGCATGATGTTATTTATGCCGTTTGTTATCAGTTCGTTGAAATTGCGGACTTTTCCCTCACAGGAGCTTTGCATATTGATGCATGACCAGTCGACATTGCTGAGATAGCGGCCGAGACTTGTCTTCTTGCTTTCTCTCATATCCCTGATATTGATCTTTTTCCTGGTATGTTGGTTCAGTATCCTTTCCTTCGGCTTTACGATGACTGTGCTATGGTCTGACAGACCAAAGGGGGGAAAGCTCTCGGGCGTTGAGAAGTGATTGCCCATGTTTGTTAGTATTAGATCAAGTGTGACCTGGCCTCTTGTGGGGAATTTAACAAGCTGCTTTAATTTAAAATGGTTCCGCAAATGGCACATATCAAGACGGTTAAAATAGCCAGTGACAATAATTCCACAATTTGGATACAAAGATTCGGCTGATTTCAAACTGTCAAATAGATGGTTGAGCAAATTCTGACTGTCGGATTCTGCTGGACTGTTACGGCCTGGGTAGTAAACGACGGCCAGCAAGATGCAACCTCCAAAATCTTTGTACACCCCCTAAAAATTTCAAAAATTCATTTCTCCTTAAAAACACCGGAAATAGGAAAATTCCTTCAACGACAAGAAAATTCCTGGGTTTTAAATGCTAGCCCCTTTTTTCTCCGCAAACTTCGCTGAATCTTGAATCTCGAGCGCTTGAGCCCGCGTTATTGATCGCATACCTGCGACGTAGCTTTTCGTCAAAATAATACTTCCAAAACATGCACAAAGAAGGAAACCGCGAAAATCATTAAACGATATTACATACTAAAAGATTACAAACTGTAATCTCTTGTACACTGAGTTTTTATTGTTTCATTTTAAATACAAAATTTGTTATTTCATTCTACCCTATCACTGCAGTCTTGACATCATAAGCAACCAATTAGACTATGAAACGTTTCATGGCCAACGCCCGAATACAAAACAAAACGTTCTCTTTATTCGAGGCTGGCAATTTGTCTTTGAAGGACCTTCGATCAGCCGAGGACCAGAGGTTGACATTTATGATCTTTTTCTCTTATTAACTGACTTTTAATCCACAATCAATGTGTAACGCTGCAGATTTCGGTCAATTTTAACATCTCGTCTCTCTTTATGTGATAGGTTTGAGTATTGAAGACTAACAGATTGACCAAGATCATTTCGGGTATGTATACGCATAGGCAGGTTGTTTGCGTACGCTGGTTGTTTTATCGGTCGTGTATACCGTTTATATCTTCATGCACAGCAACTACGAAGTAAGTAATTAAGATCTCTGCCATATTACGAACGATTTCTATTTTCAGTTTAAATGCAAAGCACTCCACGATCAGTTTAGGTCATGTCAGTTTGTCATGTGATTTGGCTTTTTCAGTCCACAGTTACTCTGAAAGTTGAAAATTGAAAAAAAAAAAAAGAGTTAAAACAGTGAATTCTAAATATTTCGCCTTTTTTCTTTTTCTTTTACATTCCATAGTGTGTTTGATTAGATGGAATAGAGCAATGAAATTGAGGAGTATTTTCTTCCTAAATGACCATCAGCTTTGACGCAACTGTTTACTCTCTTTTTTCATGGAATAGCTATATAACTCAGAAGTACACTCCTTTTAAAGAAGAAAAATTCCTTCAATAGTGCTCGTCGGCCGAGGTCACGGTTTTCATCTAAAAGTCTTTGGCTGATGCTCACCCGTTGCGCACATATAATAATACCATACTAACAAAAAAATTAATTGGTTCCATAATTTTCTCTTGCACCATGAATAATTCCAAAATTTCCCACAGTAAAAGGTGAATGAATTTAAATTGACGAGGATGCTCCATGAATTTCTACAAAAAACACAACCTTGATACCCTTCTTAAACATTTTTAAGTTCAAACATCAAAATAATCCTCCCTTGTTTTTGCTTATCATTCAAATGAAATACGACTAATTTAAAAAGTTACTAAGGAATAGTTTCACTTGTCACAAGCATGATACTTACAAACAATGATCCGTTACGAACAAGACTATTATTTAGCAATCCCCACTGTGAAGTCTTTGCTCTATACAGCGCCAACATGCCAAATTTTAAAATTAGAACAAAGAGGAAAATTCTAAAGAATGAAATCACCAAGGCGAATCTACTGTTCTGCTCATTACTGCAAGGATAAACGAGCGGGGATAACTACTATCAGCATTGCTTTAAATTGTGCTGCTTTTAAAACACCAAGATGTATGCATACACGTTCTCAGACAGCGTCCCGAGCAAAATTGATTGAATGCTACGCGTGACGATCAGGTATTAACAAATACATTTTTATCCCGAAATTCATACTGAAACAGATGACCATCGCGAAAAAATACATTCTTTTATTTTTTTTCTCAGAGGGTACGGTAACGAATCCTGCAATCTAATTGGTTCTTAGTGCGGTCCGTATTTTCCTATCTCTGCCCACGGGCAACAGTAACGCTTTCGTGAGTCGCCGAGTACATCCCCATTTTTGTTGCCATTTTTCATAAATATATCTCGTTTCTCCGGCTGGGCAGTATTTTTAAGCAAAGACGTCGGTCACTACTTCAAGCCGGTAAATAACTTATTAATCCTCTCTTTTCTCCCTCTCAAATCACTTTGGTTGACAGAGAAATATTGGTTTCAAATTAAATTTGTATTAGTACCAATGTCATTAAATTGGTTGGCAAGCGGCCTAAAAACCGTCTGTAATTAATTTTAATCCTTCACAAAACTGAAGTACCTAGAAAGTTAAAAAGTGAGGTATTTTGTTACAATTGAATTGATCGATGGAACTTTCATTCATTTAATATCTGAATTCTCTCAAACAATTTGTTCGTAGTGAAAGGGCGAGCGAAGTTTTCAGTTCTACTAGCTACGAAGAAGTCTTCGGTGAGTCTTTCCAAGTCCCGGCGTTCAACCTGGACATTTGTACCGTAAATTGCACAACAGAAAATGCAGGAATTCAATGAGAAAAAGCCGCATTAAATCCCCTTGTTTCTAGTTGAAGTGTCTCATTCGAATTTAGTTTTTGTAGAGGAAAGACCAGATTTACACGCGCCATTGTAGCAAACAAACGAGCAAACACTCACAACGTCAAAATATAAAATTTGAATTTACTTACGACTACCTTCCTTGCCATTTACTTACTGAACAGAGGTAAATATTCGTACATTAATCGTCGATGAGACTGAATAATACTTTCCGTAAGATTGAAGAAAACATTGCTGTCACAATCCTTGCCAAACTAGTTCCTTTGTTTTTACAAAAATGTACTTGCGGTTTGTTTTTTCTTACGCGCTCTCTAATTGACAGGTGTCAGATTGTGACATATAGTTGTAAAAATAATGTTTCAAAGTTTGTTTGGAAACCTTTTAAATCACCTTTATCGTTACGCAAATGAAAAATGTTTCGGTGAAGCCTCTCTCTTTAATTTGCATTACCTCTATTTTAACTACCATTTACTCGCTCAAAAATTGTTCAGTTTACGGAAGATCTTGCTGTAATCACAGCCCTAAATCATTGGGGTTCCTTTGGAATGAATTTCGTCAGTTTTCAGGAAAAAAAAAAAAAATGTCTTTCACTAGCCTAACTCGGTCCGTATTGGGAAAAACTGTGCCTGAGGTCGTGAGTACCGCCCGAGGCCGTAGGCTGGGGAATAACACATATATCTTTAAGTGGCTTATTTACCCACATAGTCCCCAATAGCCTCTTATAAATCTGTTTTAAGTCCACGGACATGAGTATCAAGTTCGGAAAAAAGTTAAAAAAGAAAAAGTAGGGATCCTTTAAAAAAAAAAATTAAAAAATAATGAAAAATAAAAAAAAAAGGCTAAAAAACTCAAAGAGAGAGAGGATGAGATCCAGTCAGCCACAAAATCAATTGCAAGATCTGAGAATGGCCTGGGCGGTTAGAGGCTCCCAGTGAGTTAAAAGTATTGTCCTATTTCTTACCCCCAGCAAAGCAAATAATGAAAAATAAAATTGGTAAATAACGTGTTTTCCAACGCCACTAAACTGTCAAAATAGTATAAGGCACCCCACCAAATTTTCTGTGAGTGCGGAAGACAATACCGAGTAAACTGTGTTTTTACCTTAAATTTACCCAGCGAAAATGTCTACCCGACGAACATCTGCATTTCTGGTTTGCCTGTTGTTGGTTACTCTGATGGAAGAGGCAAAACCTGTACTTGGAGGGAAAGGAGGAGGAAAATTTTCGAAACTATCGAACAGGGTGAAGGAACTGGAGGAGAGCATGGAGAAACTAGGAGAATGCAAAGAAGGTAAAATTTAATAATGAATACCTAGTAATAAACTTGTGACCCTCTGTATTTGAAAAAAAAACCCTCTGAAAGAAATTGCGACTAAGATGGTTTTCTTTAGGCTTTTCACAACAACACAGATTTAGAAATAAAATTAGGTAAAAAAAAACTGTTCTTCCTAATTAGGACAAAATTGACAACGAATTAGCTGTGTAATTTTACTTTTCGGCGTCTTATTGAAAATAGAAAATAAGTTTTTCATTTAGTTGCTCCTAGATTTAAAGCGCAACTTCACTAAAGTGATTCATGGATCATTGTCGTAATTTATTTTCAGTTTGCTCGATGATCTCTGAACTAAAAGAGCGGCTCACTGCTGTAGAGGGTGAGATTGAAGAGCTGAAGAAAGAACCGCCGACAAACCCCCCTCCACTGGCTCCAGGTACATTTCTAATAGATTCCGAACTACGTTTCTGAAGTCCAAGATGACTCGAACCCTCGCTAACTCGAATGCGTCATTAACTCGAACCAAAATTGGACTTTTGTCATTCATTTGATGATTTTTTTCACCCCCTGTAACTCGTGCATCCTTGACAACTGTAGCTTCCCGCTAACTCCAAACAATTTTCGTTCCCCTTCGGAACATTTTCTTCAAGTCAATACCTCAAACCATGTTTGTCTTTTTATATTTTTATATTTAAGTTTTTGGCTATCTTAAATTACCCAGAAGAACAATTGGCCCAAAGCAGGTTCCGTTGGTCTTCTCCCTCCCCATTTTCAGCAATTTGAGCCATCGCAGGTCATCGCAGAGAGGCATCTCCATCCTTAACCAACAAAATTCTAGTCAATACTCGACGGTTACCACGAATTCCAGGTTGTTTTTCTCCACCTAGACATGGTTGATATGTGTCTAAATGTCCAATCAACTTGCTTGAAAAACTGAAAAACGTCTCCGCTCGTCAAGATTTTTGCGGACTCAAATATAAAACTATAGTGACATCATGATAATATAGCAAAGTTTTGGAAAAGATTGATAAGCGACGCCGTTTTTTGCCCAGGTATAAATAATTCAGGTAGCAAGATAAAGCTTTTAATTTTTCTATCAACAGTCCTTTGACAGGGGCACAAAAAATGTTTTCATTCACAAAATGACGTTGAGGCTCCATGATGTTGACATGCGTGCTGAGTGGTCTTTAGCACGCATAAAAATTGGATATCACCGCTTTTTTAAAAAAATTCCCGCCATTTTAACAAATGTTCACTGTTGCTATGTATTGACAAGTGAGTTTGGGACACGCGCAGACATTTTTCAGCTCTGTTTTTGCCATATTGCAAATTAGAGTGCGAAGGCTACAAAGTTCTGGACAGCGCTGACAGGAAGAATACCTACGGTATGGGCAATGCAGCATGTGACAACGACATTGAAGAAGCGTGGTACCGCTTCACCGGAGCCGCAGGCTCAAAGATGCCAGAGTCACCACCAAATAAAAACACGTGTGGCACGCATGCACCGGGGTGGCTGAATGGACGACATCCATCTGTTGCCGAGGGAAAGGTGCACAGATCACATTTCTTACAACAGTAAAATTTTTTTTCTGGGTAATTCATATGAATGAATTCAAGACTCCGTTTGGCGGGAAATTATTCTCGGGTATTTGCCCACGAACATTATTTGTTCCGAGAAGCGAATGATTTTCGAAGAGCGAAGCTTTAGGAAAGCTGTGGACTTCGGATAACAGATGATGCCGAGGGATATGTAAACGAGCACATTTGTAAGCCAAATGAATGCATTTATTCTCTCTTTCTCTTTTTCTTTATTACTGTGCGCGCAACAAAACGATCACTTCGAAAACAGATGTTGATTTTCCACCAATTGGTTAATAAGCAAATTTATTCCTTCTAATGAAACAACAGCAGAACGCTCTCCAACTAAAATCAACTTTTAAAGGAAGACTTTCATCGCATTGAAAGCAATGTTTGAAAATTGGAGAATATCACTGGGGGAATATCACTGGGGGAATATCACTGGGGGAATATCACTGGGAGAATATCACTGGGGGAATATCACTGGGGGAATATCACAGGGGGAATATCACTGGGGGAATATCACTGGGGGAATATCACGTCGTACATTTCTGTACCAGTGAGAACACAAGCTTTATGACGTTATATGGGAAAAAAAACATGAGTGTTTTCAATCGGCTTTTATGAAAATTTTTGTTTTCAATCATGACACAGCGTAACATATATCTAAATTCTATCATAAGACTATATTTGTGGTGACTAGACATTTATTTATCTTTTCAATTCCAATGTTTTTTGGTTTAGGTATCCAGACAAGTCTGTTTCAACTGGGATGGCAACAATTGTAACTGGCAAGCCGGCATTGAAGTACGAAACTGTGACTCGTTCTTTGTCTACAAACTGGTGAAATCGCCCGGTTGCCAACTCCGTTATTGTGGCAGTGACTAACGGATGATGGGCAATTAAAACTGAAGCATGTCACACGCTTACGGCTGAGCCTTACACTCCAACACAAGAACTTTACAGGGGAAAGGGGACGTATACTTATATCAGCCTTAGCACTTGATATCAGCTGGTAGCAGAAGTTCATTCTGTAATGTGGACTTGAATGATTGAAAAGAGAAATAAAGGATTCATTATTGGTGGTAGATGTGCGGAAAAAGTGTGCAATAAAAGTGTTCGGGAAAGCTCTCTGTATTTAAAGGATGGTTTTAACAACAAACGAATTTACAAAAGAATTTATCTCGAGGATTATTCAACAAGATTCATTTCACTTTCGGCGAATAATTGTTAATCATTGTCACTAACAACGGCGTGGTCAAGTCCAATTACCGAAGTTTAATTTGCACTTTGTAAAAATAAGAAAAAATAATGCGTAAAACAGCTTTAACACATCTGAAACACATCTTTAAAATTTGGTGTAAATGGGGATATTTTTAAGATACTATACTCGGGAAACATCTTCGCGAAACTGCTTTGACATTCAGACATGGTTTGATGCTACTCTGGTTTTAGATTGATTGAATGTAACCGAGAAGTTACAATTCATAGACCCAATGTTTCGACACACCTTTCTAGTGCCTTCATCAGGGATGATTTAAACGCTGCAACAAGAGGTCCTTTTAGACGCTCACTAATTAGCTACCCCATTCACTTGATGAAATCTGAAAAGAGCATATCAGGAGAATATTTCTTTTATTTTGAAATCACGTGTATGATTACAGACCAAATTACCATAATTAAGTTTATTAATTTTATTAAGTAGCTCTTCTTGATTCAATCATTTAAAGCCACTTAAGCAAAATCAAAAGGAAGGTTGTCGTGATATTTTACGAAAATAAACAGCATTGGTATAGTTGCTGTGGTAGTAGGACTTGCGTTGTCGTTAGTTTCGGTAGTAGTAGTAGGTCGGTAAGTGTTTCATCGGCTGAAGTCTTCGTTGTAGTTGTTCTTTGAAAAAACACGGTCAAAGTACTTGTTCTCGTCGAATGAGCTGCCTGTCGTGTTGCATACGAGTTGTCGTCACGACTTACCAGGCAGTCTTGAAAAGGTAGTTTTACTCTTTCTTCGACCTCCCTGGTAAACTGTATAGCAGTGTTTTGTTTGTTAAGGTGGTGGTGAAATGCGTCGATTTCGTCGTGTCGCACGGCGGTTAATGCACCGTCAACGTAGCGTAACCAAAAACGGTATCGTTTGTCTGCAAGTCGAAAGGGCGCTTTCTAGATGTTCTGCCTCATAATTTCCGCTACAACAACAGAAACTTGAGATAGCTGTACGGTGTAACTGTTTGTAGTGTACTGAAAGTAAGTTGACGTTTGTCAAAGGTTTAGTAAGTCCATAATGTCCTCTATCAGTAGCGGTAGAGGGTCAGTAGATTGTCGCATTGCAGTCTTAGTACATTGTAGCGCCAATTGAAGTGGAAGCGATTTCACATTAAATGACATTGGTCTGTCACGGTCGTCAGGTATCTGTATAGTCTTAGTGGCGTAAATGAAGTCCTCAGTGGATTGTAGTTTACGTCTGGATTTGATGGTGAGTGGTTGTAGTCATGTTGTCGTCAGGTACTTGGACAGTTGGTATGCAGGAGAAGTACAGAAAGGAGCAATCTTCCTGATTAGTTGACAACGAGTTAGCTCTATAATTTTACCCTTGGCAGCTTATTGAAAATTGAAAAAAAGTTTTCCAATTAGTTGCTTTTATATTTAAAGCATAGTTTCACTAAAGTGATTCATGGACCACTGTCGTAATTTATTTTCAGCTTGCTCGATGATCTCCAAACTGAAAGAGCGGCTCTCTGCTGTAGAGGGAGAGATCGAAGAGCTGGAGAAAAAAACCGGGGAAAGGGGACTTATACTTCATATCAGCCTTAGCACTTGATATAAGCCGGTAGCAGAAGTTCTTTCTGTAATGTGGACTTGAATGATTGAAAAGAGAAATAAATGATTATTATTGGTGGTAGATGTGCGGAAAAAGTGTGCAATAAAAGTGTTCGGGAATCAAGACGATCCTCTAATTAATTTTCAAAACGTGATAATGAGGTGTCTTTTCAGAATTGGGGCTTCAGTTGTTCGCAGTCATCTTCGCTCAACTGGGTTATTAATTTAAAAAAAGTAAATATAGATGGTATGTTTAGGCTTTTATCTGGAGATAGTACTTAATAAAGGTACTCGGCAATTTCTCGTAAAGGGTTTAAAATAATTGAGACTAGTTGTAAACTTAACTACTTTAAGAATCGATTGCATGTGAAACGGCCCTCGAGGCCACTTAACTAAGAAGACATATAATATTCGTAGATATAATATTCGTAGATAGCAGTGTGGCTATAAAACCCTATGTCTGTTCGATTTCGTAAAGGACTTTAATATCTGAAGATACAACCGACGCTAACCCCTAGGAAAACTAGAAATAATACTCGAAATACAGTAAACGGTTTGAACCCTGGGGTAACATGTAATAGTGTAGTTTGAGTGCAGTCCTGAGAAGGAATGTTGTCGATAGTGGTGACTGATGTCAAGTGAATAGTTGTTGTCAGTCGAATGTTCGAAGTCCGAATTGTATAAACTGATTGGTCAGTTTTACCGTGATGTTATTGGCTGTAAGACTCAAGCGGCTTAGGTTGATCGTGATTAGTCGGTCTCGATCCGTTGGTAAAGTTGAGTCGTTCTGTTCGGTTCGTTTTTGATGTGAATGTCGTGAATGAGTCTTTTGTATGGTGCCGGTGGTGGTTTACTCCTGTTAAGGGGAGTGTGGTCTAAGTTAGTAAACCAGCTTTCCAGAGTCAGTCGTTAAAAGTAGGTGCTGTAGGTTAGGCAATGCACAGAGTCCCAGTCAATAGTGTGGTTCTTAAGTCGGTGATGTTTAGCAATGTGACTGTTGATATCGCCTTTCCTCGTCGCTCTGTTCAGTTAGTGTGATTGTGAGTTTTCTGCCAGTCTCGCCGAGGTAGGAGGCGTGGCAGTCGGAGCAATTGATCGTATAAACTACTCCCTGTCGGTTCCTCGGTTCGTCTTTGTCTTTAACGTTAGTCAGTAACTGACGGAGTGTGGTAATGGGTTAATCTACTAGCCAGCGATAATTATTCCATTAGCCGACAGTAGTTTTATCACTTTCATTCACGTCTTTATCCGCAGTTCAAATTTATGACTTTCATATATTCTTAACCGTTTATTTATCACTTCACGGGTTTATTTAGAACCAAGCTCATGACCAGCTCCCAGTTGGCTTGTTAGCCCAGTTGGTAGAGCGCTGCACTGGTATCGCAGAGGTCATGGGTTCAAATCCCGTACAGGCCTTATTTTCACTGTTCCCGTACAGGCCTTATTTTCACTATTTTTACTGCCTAAGTAGTGCACATTACTGCGAGGATTACTTTCATTCACGTTTTTATCCGCAGTTCAAATATATGACTTTCATATATTCTTAACCAGTAGTTAATCTAGCAGCTGACAATAGTTAATCTACCAGCTGACAACAGTTATTCTACCAGCTGACAATAGTTAATCTACCAGCCCACAATAGTTAATCAATCAGCCGACAATGGTCGAGACGTTTTGCGAACTTTGACTCTGGTTGGAAACAGACCTTACACAAAATTTACAAAACGACAAGTGACAGAAAGTTAAGAGAATTTGGTTATAAGGTTTTCCACAGAATATGAGTCACTAATGAGGAACTCAAGCAATTCAAAATCAGGAATGATGACTTATAATTTCAATGTAAAAATCCTGATTCATTACAACACACCTTTTTTGAGTCCTATGAGTATTCAATTCCATCAAGAAATCCTATCGTGGTTCAATACTTTGAATAACACCCACATAAGTTTATCTGTTGACCAAATTTTACTTCAGAATTACCCCCCTCCTGCTGTTAGCGATGACCTCCGACGCCGACTGGATTTGCTTATCCTACTAACAAAAAGGTACATATATAGTTGTAAAATTAATGAGAAAAATCTCAATAATTTACAATTTATAAATAAGATAAAAATGCAATGGAAAATTGAGAATTTAATTCAAGGTAGTCAAATACAAATATTGTCAACAAACCTCTTCGTGTGTTCTTCTTTTTTTCGTGTTTTATTAAATTTATCGAATTGGTATTTCATTTAGTTATAAGCAATCAAGTAATATAAATAATTTTACATTAAATAAATGTAATCTTGTACATATAGGGTAAAAAACAAAAAAACTAGAAGTCCATATCATGTCTTATTGCGAAATAATAATAATAATAATTAATGAAAAAAAAGAGATGTGAATAATGTAAGAAAAGTGTTGTAATTGCCAGTGGTGTAAGTAACCAGTATTGTAAATACTGTAAGTAATGTATGTAATTAGCCGTAAGTGATATTGTGTATTGTTATCAGTGCAAGTAAGCAGTATTGTAAGTAATGTATTATATTACGGTGTATTGTCGAGTGCTGTAAGATTTATTAGTATTATTATTATTTTTAAAAAAATGAAGACTTTGACTACACAGAAATCGATTGTATGGTCGGAATTGAAATATGTTCGAGCAACGATTCTTAAAGCGTTGTTCGTTGCCAACAACAAAGAGAAGCGTTGTTGCGTTGTTCGTGTCTAACAACAAAATGAAGCTTTGACCTTTTACCGACATGTCAAACGCGACAATCGACATTCTTTTACCAAGTTTTCTCATCTGTTATTGTTAAGAAAGTCACAAATAAACACAAAAGAACTTCATTTGTATGTTACGCTGCATCCGTGCATTTTGTTGTTGTAGAAACGAAAAACGCTTCCCTTCATAGTATTATTTAAGATTTAAGCTTACTCTTACTTTGGTACAATACGCTTTCCATGAGTATCATGCTCGAAGATTGGGCAGGTATTTGGAGGGAAGGACCACGGTGCAGATTTCCTCTCAGCCTCCTCGGAGACCTCAAGCACCCTTTTCATCAACTTTTGGAATGCTGCACGACCTTTGCAACTGCCTTTGTCTCGCATTTGGGCCAGTTTGCCCACGTGCTCACCCGCGGTCTTCAGGCTTTTGAAAGGGCATCTATCTTTGAAAGCGGGGCAGTTTCCAGTGATGTCTTTGAGCTTATCAGTCAGACCTCCATATGGGCAAACACCTTTACCAAATACTGGGCACTTTTCGGCAATCTCATCGAGCTTCAAAAAATGCGGATACTGCAGGATAAAACGAAGTTATGGACATAAGTTTATTGGCCATGCCTTGATTGATAGCCAGTTACAGCACAGGCAGCCCAAGCTCCAGCTGTGAGATGATCATCTCATGGCTAGAGAGTGGGCTGCTTAGGGTTACAGGCCAGCTGCTAATCACTCGTAAGTCTATCGCGCTCTTTTGATTTAAAATCCATCGCTCTGCAGGATGGTTCTCATTTCGTGATTTATACTTAAAAGGTGAAAATGATGGCATTTCATTGGCAATTTACCGATAATGGGGAATTCAAAAAAACAATCCCCTTGATTTGAAAACACCTAGGATGGGAACTTTGCATTTCGAATGATATCTTGCTGAGAAGTTTATAGCAGTAGACTTAGACATAAAGAATGGGAAAACCGTACACAAGATCGATCGAGCTGAAGAAAAACACTTAGAAAAAACCTCAAGAAAAGGGGAGGAGAAGCTTAGAGCTATCTGAGGGTAAAACACGGCACAACGTAAGGCAAATCAGGAACAACTGATTGACACTTAGAACGAGAACAGAGCCGGGTTGTAGAGAGGACTGTCATTCCCAAGTTGGTCAACACAGTCATATTAGGCGCTGTTCCAGCGCTACCCATTCTAGAAGCGCAGATGCTGGCCACTTGTGACCAAAAGATGCTACATTATTATTATTATTATTATTTAGTAGAATTTACCCACCACAGTGTACGCAGGCATCAAAATTGGCTCTCCCTTGCTGTCCCTGGCAAACGGGTAGCCACTCTTGAAGAAGGGGCAGGAGTCGGTTTCGTGCTCTAAGTGCTTTCCTTACTAAGAAAGACGACAGCCTTCATAAACTCGATCAATTGACCTTCACTTTTGCACTGGTCAAGCCATATCAAGCTTGGATCACTTGAGGCTTAAAAAGTTATGAGTTAAAGTTGATTGCAAAGTTCAGTGGCGCAGCAGTAGTTCACTCTGTCACTGACTCTCCCAACTGATTGCATAGGATGAAGGAGTCAGTTTAAAAGGCGAGCACACAAAGCAGGGGGAGGGGGAAGGGGGAAGCGACGAGGTCTGGGACCGTGAAACGATGATCACACAAATTGCAAAGCCGTCAATTCACGGGCTTGTCAGCGGTCTCCCTAAGCCACGCAGGCCGCTCAAATCCTTTACGCGCGGAATTGGTCTTGAATTACTCTTACGGTTGTTTTTCTATAACGATTTGAAAATTTTATCGTAGTTTAATTATATATTATGAATACCCCCTTTTCTTTTGCCTTTTTGTTGATTTTTCTTCGGTTAAGCCTGCTCGAGGATGCGAGGAACCTTAATAATTAATAATTCTAAATTCAAGATCAAAAGTCTTTCAATAAAATATTTAATAAGAGTGGTTGGAGGATTTGTTTTTTTTTTCATAATGACGTCAATTTTGCCTTATGAATTTTTTCCTATTAAAGCCACGTTTTAATTCTGTTCTATTTCATAATGGTGATCTATTTTAAATGGGCTCAAGGATTTTGTATCGAAGAAACCTTCTCTTCACTCTTCCTCTTCTGTTTGCCATGAGATCGTAAAGATGATCGTGACTCTAACAATAGTAATGATAATAATAATACGTATAATAATGATAATAAAAATGCAAGATTTTCTCACCTCTTGAAAGATGAAATTAATAACTTCAATTAGGACAATAAAATTATAATCAGTCGGGCTCTCACTAGAAGCTGCACATAATCTACCAATACAGGGTGTCTTCTTAATAGTTTTGAACATTGCCCAACTGTGGTAAATCACTGAATCTCAGAAAGAAAAGATGGAGAAAACGGCAATCATCTTAGCAATCCGACAGTTAATCTCGTACCCAGATCCTACTGTGTACTGAGACTAAATCACTTGTCCGTGGAAGGTCTGGGTTCCGGACTATTTTCCTGAAGATAGATCTAGTCGGTCATAATTAACGCAGTAAGCCGCAGTTTGTTTTTAAAATAAAACTGCACTTGCATCAAAGAGAAACACAATTTTTTCATTAATTGTGAATTCTCACGGGAAAAAAGTTTTTTTAAAAAAAAATTTCGGTATCCACGCCATTATGAATAAAATTTTATTGTATTTTCTTTCTTAATATTTCAAATGTATAAGCGCCTCGTATTTACTTTGCCAACTCAACAAGTGGTAGTTTAATTTGATTCAAAGGCGAAAACTTACGCAAAACAGACATAGTCGTAATTAACGGATAATTTTTGGTGCGATTGAAGTGCACCGGAAACTCTTTCTTTTTTCATATTACATTGCACACATATAAAATTAAAAAAATAACCCTAATCCTAAACCCAAGCTAATTCTAGATAATTAAAAACTCAAATTTAAGTTCTTCTATTGCAAGTTCTTCATTGTACCGGTGACCGAAACGGAGAAATGCGAAAAATTATTTTAAAATGATATCAAGTTAAGAAATCTGCAGGGGAAAACGGAAATAACTTAAACAAGCAGTTCTTACGTAGTTAATCTTAAGATTTGTTCGAGGCTTAATCGATAACACTTCATATGTTTAATCATATTTCCTGGACGCATTTCCCTTTGAGAATATTCTTTGACCTTCTCCATTAAAATTGACTTGTTAGTATAAGCCATATTTGGAAGTGGCTTGTGATTGGTTGTTTTGCTGGTGTGGTAGGAGCGGCGGCCATCTTGTGGAGAAAGCGGTGTTTCCGGCTGGTTGTAGGAGTTTATTTGCCGCTTCTAAAAATTACTTTTCATTTACAATATAATAAGTGTGTAGGGTTTTGAATACACGTTACATCCACCATGGTAAGTAATGTATTTCCTGTACTTGTCATTGGAAGAAAAGAGCAGTTTTGATGTACTCTCCATTGCAATCAGTGTTCTGTTTGTTTCTGTGGTTGTAAACCCGCCTGAACCCATAAAGTTTGTCCTTTACTCTGAATGTCTTGAACTGAAGATCTTTCCTCCTTGGAATGGCGTATTAACTTAACTGGAGTGTCTGATATACGACAAAAATATGTGTTGTACATGACCTATTTTGGTCTTGTGGAGAAAATGATGTCCTTCACTTTGTGTCGGCATTAGATTTGCATATATATACTAACTTTGTACTGCGATTTGTTGTTGCTACAGACTGAGAGACAGCTAGACTGTGCGTTAGATTTAATGCGAAGGTTGCCACCCCAGCAAATTGAGAAAAATCTGAGCGACGTTATCGATTTGGTGAGTTGACATAATTTATCTTAGGGAGGAAGTAGATCGTAAGTTACTAAGCAAATTGTCCAAGTGATGTAGGTGCATGTCTTAAGTTTTGGAATTTACTCACAGCGAGTCAACTTCGAGCGTATTTGCGTATTTCTTATCTTTAATTACTGACTTGAGTGGATATAATTATCATCTAATATTATTAAACTTGTAGTAACTGCGATAAGTGACATTTTGTGGTAGATGTAAAAGTGAGGTCTTCATCTTCAACTGTTTGACAAACGGCTATTTTGCCCTACATGTTGAATCATTTACCCCATTTTAATGATCTTTGGCTTAACAAAATGGAAGGCTAGGGACAGTCTTATACTGCTAAGAATACAAGGCATCTTCTATTGGTCTCTTTGACATAAATGGATGATGGTTAGGCATCATTGTTAGGCACAAATGAGCATTCAAGGCACATTTTAGTTTTGTCTGTGGGTGACCTGAATAGGACACTAGTCAGACTACATAACAGTTTGCTAAAATCAAAACTGAAATCTACTTGTTTCATGAAAAATGAATTGAAATGTGGCTTTTTTTAGAGCTTTGCTCAGTGGGTAAGGGAATTTAAGACAAGGTGCTCTGTTTATAAGGAAATCTTCTTGGCTCTTACCATCTTACCATTATTCACCACAAGTTGTAGTAGTCTTTCCTTATAATACTTAGTTTGTAGCCTAAACATCTTAATCTGACACCATGTTTGACTCAGCATTTTTTGTTAATCCTCCAACTACCAGAAGTGAGTCAGATCTACTTTACATTTGAATAATCATTCAGTGAAGTTTTAAACCAGCACTACAAAGTCTCTAACAGCATTTAAGATTTAATTTCAATTATTTACATTTTCTGATGCTTTCAGGTTCCTGCCCTCTGTGAAGACTTGCTATCATCTGTTGATCAGCCACTCAAGATTGCTAAGGATAAATCAACTGGCAAAGACTATCTTCTTTGTGACTATAATAGAGATGGAGATTCCTACAGGTATAGATGTAAGACAGACTATAAAACATGGTCTGTGTTTTTTAAAGACGTGATATACCCTGCATAATTATGCCACACACTGTTAGCACTTGGAGAAGTGATCTTTGTAAAGTTTTACGTATATACTGCATCAACAACATCCAAGAGTTCCCTTAATTTTACTTTGAATTTTTGTTTTGTTTTTATTCTTAGCATTTTTCATGCCTAATTGTTCCAATTTTTTTTCCTACTGGGGGGACATGAAGTGATTTAACAACCTCAACTGGTAGGAGACAAACCTGTTGGCTATTGGTGAACATGGTTGAGAATTTGGCATTGCAATTGTAATGTTGTCATCACAGGACCAAGCTGCCTCCTCACACCATGCTATATCTGATAATATAAATTAACCCTCTACACCCTAACATCAGTATTTGTATTCTTTATACTCTTCTCTATACATTTCCTTTGGTATTGACAAGAAGAATTCACTCAACAATCAAAGCTTCATAGGTTGGCAATTATTTTCTTTATTCCTATAATCTTAATGAATGATTCAGCAATATTACTGTAAGGAGAAATTGGATGTTGGTTACTCTTAGGGTTTTAAGGCTTAACAAAGTTAAACTTGTGAGGCTAACTCCTATCCTTGGGTTTTTTAGTTTAACAGGTATTGAATATCCGTTTTCTTGTGAAATATGGCTGCAGTTATGGTTCTCTTGTTTTTCCCTCAGATCACCATGGAGTAATTCTTATGATCCACCTCTGGATGATGGTGCAGTGCCATCTGATAGGCTAAGGAAACTTGAGGTGGATGCAAACACTGCCTTTGATCAGTACCGAGAAATGTAAGCTACCTGACAAACTTCTTTTACATACATGTAACTGTTTATCAAGTCAGTTTTCTTGCTGAGTACTCCTGCTGATAGTGAATAGAAGTCTGATTTTTGCAATTGAGGCATAGAGCAAAAGAAAGAATGTTACTTTTCTTCTAATCCCTCTATAAATACAGTATAAAAATTTGTAAAAAACCTTATTCACAGTCTATTCACTTTTCCAACAATGTGTGCAAATGACCAGATGCAAGAGGCAAGGAAGTTGTTTTCCATAGTTTGCAATATTTTGCCTAATTTTTATGTTTCACCACAGTCATTCTAAGCTAGAGCACAAGATCCTCAGAAAACTTTGCATTCATGTGATATTTGTGTTCTTTGTAGGTATTTTGAGTCAGGAGTGTCTTCAGTATACTTATGGGACTTAGATCATGGATTTGCAGGGGTCATCTTGATCAAGAAAGGTTTGAAGTCTTCTATAAATTCATTTACATTTATTTAGGTAGTCTTAGGAGTTGGTTTGTACCATTTTTACTTACAACCATTGCATTTCATGATCAGTTGGCCCCATAACTTCAATGTAAATACATATAATGTCACCTAAATCAAACTGACAACAAATGTGCTCTGTATACAGCTTTAAAGTAGCAGCAGAAGTATTTAGATCATGTTTAAAATGTGCCCTAACAAGAGAAAATGTTTGCTGTCCAGTACTGTTGTGGCTTATTCAACAGCTTGTTATTTTGCCTTTATTTCAGCTGGAGATAACGATAAGATCAAAGGTTGCTGGGATTCCATCCATGTTGTGGAGGTTCAGGTATATTGCCAGTTAGTAACAAACACATTAACTAAAGCACAAAACTTGTGTTATGTTAAAGCTGGACTGTGATTTTTTTTTATTTCTCAGGAGAAAAGTAGTGGCAGACAAGCTCACTACAAGCTCACATCAACAGTCATGCTTTGGCTTCAGGTATGAGTAAACTCTACAAGCACCTCTGATGAGGAATTTTTGGTTGTTGACATTGTTTTTGTGGCTCCATGCCAAGGATTTGCAATTTTCTCAGTTTGAGTACTCATGCTTTTTACCTAATTTGATATTTAACTGATTCTTTTTCTCTTTGCCTCAGACAATTAAGAGTGGATCAGGAATCATGAATTTAGGAGGAAGTCTTACTAGACAGGTATTAAATGAATGCATTTATGAAAATACATTTGTATTACCCATTTGATTGTGTTTGTACCATGTTTGGAGTTGACACACATGTGGAGTTGACATGCATTTGCATTTTGTACTCATTCAAAGATTGCAGCTGGTAATTGAATTGAATGATTCTAAATGTAAATTAAGGAAGGTTAAAACCAAGGAAAGGGGGCTGTTTTACCAAATCTTTTTGAGGGGCTTCAGGGAGACTGGTGTTACTCTGTGATATGCTTTTGCCCAACACGCCTTATTGGCTTGTTAGCATGCTTTGTTTCTCTCCATCTCTATCGTTATTTCATCTTTCTTCTTTGACTAGCAGGGTCTTTTTGGTTCCCATATTTTTAAAACTTTAGGCAGAACAGGACACTCCTGTTAATGATGCCAATCCACATATTGCCAACATTGGAAAAATGGTTGAGGTACTGTTCATATTTTTTCTTTTATAGAAGGTCATGCTGGTTAAAACCATAAAATATTACAATATTAAACAAGTTTAGGGTTGTTCTAGTCTCTATCTGTTAAGACGCCTCATCTAATGAGTTACACCTCTTTCAAGCTGTTATATATTCCTTTAAAAGTAAGGTATGGTCATCAGAAGTAAATGTTATATAAGGAGGCATTTGCTAATTGATAAGTTTGTCCATCCCTATCAACTATTTGCCAGATAGTGTATGATTTTGTGAGGAGAGTTTCTATTTCAACTCAGGATATTCAATCAATAAAAACTGATACCAGAAAATTGTATAGCAAATCAGTTTCAATTCCTTGACAATTCCAAATACAAGGAAATGTGTTGGAGCTAGTAACAGCATGTGTGGGTATGCAGGTTGCAATTCTATATTGATCTACTTTAAGCCATTCATATTATTTTCCTCTTTAAAGGACATGGAAAACAAGATGCGAAACACTCTGAATGAAATATACTTTGGTAAAACAAAGGATATTGTTAATTCCCTTAGGTGAGAATGGCTTCCTGTGTGCTACCCTTGGCATTTTAACCCTTGGTTATGCAAGGTCTTTCACACAAGAGGTTCTTTTTTTTGTCTGTTTGTCTTTTTGTGGTAAACTTGATATTCTTTAGTAGTGATGATAAGCTCATACTTAATGGTCCACTTCAGTGCTGCATTACACATCCTTACTACATGTAGTTTCATGTGTGATAAGTGCATGAACATTACAAAGTTGCTGCTTTTTTATTTAGCTGAAGGTTACCACAGAGAGAAATCATCGCTTTCGCCAAGTTAATGTTTTGACATTTCATTTTATTTCCTCTTCTTGTTTATTTTCTTTCTTTTTCTGGTTGACTCCCATTACAGAATAAGAAACAGTGATCATTGGATGCATGAATTTAGCAGGGCTTACGAAAACTATTATAATGGTGTTCCTAGAAATTAGGTTATTATTATGCAGAAATAAGCCCAAGGACTAGTTAAAGATCTCAGGGCAGATATTATTTAAATCTGTTTTGTTATTCTTGCAAAAGAGGAAACATTGAGAAACTGAAAATTTTACCTATGCTTAATTTTCAGGAGTATCAATAGTCTAGCTGATCGAGGGAAACAGAAACAAGTACAGCAGGAGCTGTTTAGTGTTCTCAAAAACCGCCAAAAGTAGTTTTTTAATCTTAGTGACTTCACTCTAGAAACTTGTTGGAAAAACCCTTCAATTTGGAATGTGAAATTAGTTGCTGGGGATTTTTTAAAAACTGAAAAAAAAAGTCACCAAAGCTTTTGTATAATTTTGCTGCAACCAAATATTTTTCAGAGATTGAGAAGGGACTTGGTGAAAATTACCCTCCAGAAATCATTTCATGAACTTGAGGGGGTAACTTTCTGCTTTAATTACACGTATTTTTAAGGAAGCTGTTATCTTGTATGTCATTGGCTTTTGCATAAATGCAAGGTCATGGCTTCTGTGTAAAATGAGCTCTTTTTGATTACCCGAGTGAGCTTAGGGTGAACTGTGATGTTGTGTTGCTTAGAAACCTGGGTGAAGTGCAATTTTCAATTGAGCGTGAAATGTAATCTGATATTGGAGTAATCTCTCTTCCCAGTGCTGAGTGATTGCTATGAAAAGCCACCTTCACATGTGTGCAGAAACCAATCATGATTTTGTCACTTGTACTCTCCCGTAATCAAGGCTGGTTTCATAAGTTGTTTTGTGTCTGATTCAGCTGCTTTTGCCTTACACAATAGTTCTGATTGGCTCTGGTGATTACTCTGGTCATGATTTTAGTGCATGCAATTGAAAGCACTCCATTGGTAGTTACTTGTTAAAATAAACACACCTCTTGATTTATAGAAATTAAAATTAACTCATTGGACTGTTGACCAAGTAAAGGAACTTATCTTTTTCCTATCAACTTGTTAATTCTATAATTTTCATTTAAGTATTTTGATCATAATTGTTGTTACTTATACCCCCCTGGATGATCAATGGTTAATTTTTCTCAACTTTAAGACAAATATTTTTCTTTATATGTCATATGTACGATTCTTCAAGTCAACTCTAGAATACACATGTATACATTTTGATGTCAAAGGCTGTTTCAGGGAATGCAAAACAAAATTATAAAGAACATAAACAATCCAAAAACCTGGAATAAGGAACCTCCTCCCCCACCCCTTCTCATGGCCTAACAACTTGTTGAAGTGTTACTGTACATGATGTGTGATCTGTACGAGTCTTAAAAATTATAAATAGAATCCATATGATAAAAAGGCTTATTACGGAGAAATTTGTTACACGCTCAGTAACTTTTTTTCCCTTAGATTCTGAGAGACTCTTAAAACTCTCTTCTTAATAAAACATTTGTTAGAGACAGTTACTTTGCGAGGTTATTTTAGTGGTTGAATATCATTGCTTCTTCAGATCCTGTTTTTGTTGTTGTTGGTTCTCTACCTAAGCTCAAGGTTAATAATTATTAAAGAGTTTAAAACAAAGCAGTGTTCCAGTGTATCAGAAGCTCTGTTAATAGTGAATAAGGCTTTCTTTTTCATAATCTTAATTTCAATGTAATGTGACCATATAAATGCAACTGTAGTTTGGTATCATACTTTAGGTGATTCCTCAGAAAAAAAGTTATGGAACCATGTTTTTTAAACTTTCCTTAAATGGTCCTTACCAATGTCTGTTTTGAAAAATACCATAAAAAATATGTCACCATGCTTGTCTGGGAGATATGAAGGGCTAATCTTACCCCATTAATGCCTGTACTGGCACAAATCATGCACATTATTTTTATTGGTTTATGGTGCATTTTGTGGTAGCTGGAAGCAAGGGTTTACTAAGAAACACTTAAAACAACCTGTTAGGTAGAAAGTCTCAAGTGTATGGGAAAATTTTATAAATAATTTGTGGAAAAATCGTGCAGTTTCAAAACAACATCAGCTCAAAATGTTCCCCACTCATTGCTTTAAAGGTCACAATTTGTATCTTTGAGTAAAGGGCTTCATGCTTACAATCAGTTATAGCTTTTTTCCCCTTCAATGAATGTTTTTTGAAGGGGATGATTTGTACACCAAAATTTTGCAATTAAAAGAATATATATCACAATGATTATTCAAGACCTAAAGACCATCAAACTTTTTTCTCTGGTCCAAACAATACCATGTTCTTGGAATGCATGCAGGGTTATTAGCCTGATTATACGACTTTTATGTGCAGTATAGGATGCACAATGCAATACTCAGGAATTACCTTAAACAGGAAAATAAACCTAGAAAGATAAATTTATCTCTTCCATCAAAAATTCTAAATGAAACTGGTGCATATTAAGGGGTAAGTTTCTAAAGAAACTGTGATGCTGCGTCGGTGGGAGAGTATAGCAGGTAATTTAGTGTTAACAACTGGGTTGAAAACGTAAATTAGCCACCGTAGAGGGTAAAAAAGCTGACGTTTCGAGCGTTAGTCCTTCGTCAGAGCGATGTTAAGGACTAGTGTTACTGGTAACTACATTTTGATTTAATCAGAAGTTAAATTAACCTTCAGACAACTGTTTTCAAATAGGTTTAAATGTTAATTCAATCTTGCTTAGCAACTTGGCTTCATACATATGAAGCAGCAGTAAACTTGTCTTTTCTGCATTGGTTGCAATCTGTTGGAATGAGCAGGAGCTACACAGAAAGCATTCTTTACTCTTGTAATGACTTCCTTTAGCAGCAACAGTTTGAGAATGGTTCAGTTGCACATAGTGGTTTCACAATTGGTGGTATCTGGAGCTGCATTTTAAACTCATTTGGCGACAACTCCATCAGGGCTTGGTCACTCTTTGGAATCTCAAAAGGTGGCAACAAGTGAATGGTGATATACAATTTTGATGCCAATTGTTACTTCTTAAACTAATTTTGATGCCTGAGAGAATAGCTACAAAATAATATAACTCACACTGATGATAGAATTTATTTTACCATTCCTTGTTTCTTGAAAGAAAAAGTTGATTTTAAGCTTTTTTCAATTAATAGTGAACCATACATGTATAACTTCCTTAAAACTTTAATCAAGCCAACTCATCCAGAGTCAAGAAACTGAAGAGCAGTACATTTTAGTCTTTGTAGAGGACCCTGTTTACTTGGCTTAGTGGGATGTCATGCAGAGGTGGAACTGATCCAAGAGGAACTGAAATTGTATTATCATCAATGTATCGAGCATGTATATCTGCAAGTTCAAAAGCAAAATATTATGTAAACCATTTGATTTCTTCTCTATGACAGGAACTTTGATGTGTGTTATGTGAAAAAAGTGTGGGGGAGGGGGGGAAGAATGGTTACTTCACCCTATTCCCTCTTCTTTCCTTTTTGACTATCACACACCCCTTGTTAAAATTTCTTTCTCTCCCCAGACTTCAACTACTGTAAAAATCAAAGATGGCACCTGTAATTTTCATCAAGAAAGTGCTGAGCACCTGCTCACCCTTAAATTATGCTTGCCTTGCAGGCTACTAAAATATTTGCTCAACAACCTACTTCATAATATGAGATAAATTGAAACAAATTCTAAATATTGAAGGTTGTTACTGAGTGTGTGAGTCATATTTAATAATAAATTCCTCCTGCTGATCATGTTCAAGGTCTGTATGTTTGTTTACAGACCTCTAAACTTCCAAACCACGACTCATTCCACCAATTCATTTTTTTCTGCAGCTTACAAAGATGAATATTGTTATTACTAGGCATCCATTACAAATCCAGATTACAGAATATATTTATTCTCACCTGTAATTGTGTTGATAGAGTCTGGTGGGAGAGTGATGGTGAAATTATATGCTATATAGAACAAAACTGCAAACACAAATGCAACACAGAGATAAATTGGTCCAGCTAACACCCAGTACCTGGTAAATGAAAATAATGGTGAAATAAAAAAGTATTAAATTTCATTGTCAAGAAAAACAGTAGCTGTCTCCACCCAAATAATCTAAATTGCAAAAATTACAATCCCCTTGTCATCATGCCACACCTACTCCCATTTATATTCAGTAGCTACTCTTATTTAAATGGGGGAGGAAAGTGAGAGAGAAAAAGCGTTAGGGGAAAGCATACTATGTCCGAGTAGGTACCCACTGTTAATTCATTGTGGAGTGTTGTTCATGAAAAAGAATGATATTTTATGGAAATCACTCTCATGAGATTTCCTTTCACTTTTCAAAATCACATGAAACATTGCTCCCCCCCCCCATTCCTCCCTCTATCTATCGGTGTTCATTTCTTCTAGAGTGTCCCCAAGAAGCTCTATTTTTATTTTCACACCTTCCCTCCATACAAAATTCATAAATTTCTTTGCACATCTGTGTAATAAATTTTGGAATATGGAACCTTAGGATTAAAAACAATGCACCCAACCTGTTGATGAGCTTAACTGTGAGCACAAGGTTACCTTTGAGGAAGATAAGTTATTCCAATACTATGAAGCCACTCTTCTGGGAAGCAAGCCCAAATAAAATACAGGCCTAATAATTGAAATAAATCAAGAAAATCAAATTATGTTAAGGTACAAGTTAGGCTGCTTTTTCGTGAATATTGAACTCTCTGAAAAGTTAAATACAGTTATTATAGCATGAGTTTACATGTTAGTGATAATAGAATGCTTATTTGATATTCTAGAATCTGGAGAGGACTCGTGCATAACATCAGGTCTAAACCGTCTCTGCCTTAGTACTAACCAAGTCCAAAATAGGTTCCCAAGTACAGTACAAATCCATAGATTGCCCTCTCCGGAGTAGGCGAAGGAGAATGTTCTCCCATTTTCAACTACAATCAACCGCCATTATTTTCAGTAGGCTCTCATGACGTTACTTTCAATTGATACCGCTGACAAGTTCAGGCTTTTGACAATTCTTTGAGAAGTTGTAAAATCAGTATGGAAGGAAGCGCAGCGAACGAAGAAGGTAATATTTTTCTTTCTCGTTTGTAATTATGTCTTATACACCAAATAATAAGTGTGGTTATTCTTGTGGCAGAGTCTGGTCTAGTGCGAATTCTGAACGTGGAACATGATGCAGAGGTGAGTTCAGCTCCCCCTACCTCCCAAAGACACTTATAGACTTTGGGAGAACTAAATCACTGCCGCTAGAGAGAATCTGCCGTAACTGAAGATTCTTTTTTAATCTTGCAGGATGTTGACCTGACTCATGCAAAAATTGAAAAACTAGAAAGCTTTGAGAGACTGACTTGTGTGAAGGTATGGTTTTTGGTGGACTTGCAGTCTCCCTTCCTCCAAAATGATTGTCATTGGCCAATTTCCAATCACATGCATATGACCTGCCATTTTACACATTCTTAGAACATTTCCAGCACATGATAAAAGCCCTGATTAAAGCACAAATTTGCTCATGTAGAATGTAAATGAAGTACCTTGTATGTTATCCATTCTGTCTTGATACTTACTGTAAGTAACTGTAAATCTATTTGTTAAGGCTGATATACTTGTAGACATAATGACCAGACTTGCCTTTGTTTGTTTTCAGTCTCTTTGTTTAAGAAGAAATAAAATCACTAAGATTGAAGGACTGAGCACATTGACAACCCTTGAAGAGCTGGACTTATATGATAATCAGATTACACAGATAGAGGGACTGGACAACAACACCAACCTCACGTGAGACAAAACTCTGTACTTAACAAAAATGGCAACAGAAAATATTATGTTTCAAGATGGACAAAGAGGCTAATGCTCTGATAAAGGGCTAACATTCTATATGTCAGCTTTAGAAACTCTTGACCATGGCCAATTTACTTTATATACTCAGTGGATAAAACCAAACTATCCTTTACTAGCCCCCACTGATGCAGCATTACAGTTTCTTAATCCTTTAACTCCCATGAGTGACTTAGACAAAATTTCTCCTTACAATGTCAATGCAATGTCAACCAGATAAGTGATGAGAATAAAGAAAAACATCAATTTGGGGATAATTTGTTGATCCAATACTAAATTCTCTGAACTAACAAGTAAGAATTTTATTGTTGATAGTAAGGAGAATTACAAATTTGATCTGGGAGTTAAAGGGTTAAGAAACTTATCCCCTTATTAATTGTTTGTAGAATGAGACTGTCATTTTAATTCAGGTTATTCTGAGGGCCAATTAAAGTGATGTTTTGACCCTTGCATTTGATGAAAAAATTGTAATCTTGACAGTCTTTTAAAAGCGCATCATAAATTATGCCATAAGCAATGCTAAGTGGCAAAAGGTTTTGGTGTTTCCTGGTCTGGCAGGTAATGCAGGTAACAAAATTTGTTTACAATGACTTAAAGGAAAATCACTCCATATTAAGTTTAAATCCTCTAAAAGTTGAAATTGAAAGGGTATGCTCTGGATCCTGTACCTTCATCTGCACCTTTCATGGCAACAACTACAGTAACTGTAATGTGAGACAGTAAGCCATAATTTAAGGGATTGAAACAGCTATAAGTGTTCCCTCTTTTTGACCGTGTTAAAATAACTTAACTGAATGTGCATATGAATTGCATATTTGATTACTAAAGAATTAAAAGATTTTCTGAATTGAAAGTTTTGTTCTTACTAAATCTTCAGGAGTTTGGATTTGTCCTTTAACTTGATCAAAACAATTGAAAACCTGGGATGTCTGGTGAAAGTGACAAAGTTGTTTCTGGTTTCAAACAAGATCTCCAAGATCGAAGGACTTCAGAATCTACCACAGTTAGAAATGCTTGAACTTGGTGCAAATAAAATAAGAGTAAGTGTTATTTATCTGATACACGTATAGTGGAAGTTCCTGTCAATGAACACCTTTAGAACTATGATAATGTGTTCATAACGGGAGCTAGCTGCTTGGAAGAAAGTTTGTTTTGAGTGGCAGATAGAGGTGTGAGTAAAAGATGTGCAATTTTACCCAGTTAAAATTCAAATTATATGTGTAAGATTGGTGTTTCAAACTGTACCCAAGTGATTAAAGGTATGACAACTAGACTAAGAATAAGACATGGTGCTGTTCACTGTGCAATGAATGCCCTGTGAAATCATTGTGTCAAACAGCAAAGAAGAATTGGCTGATTTACATAAGATTCAGTTGAGTCTAATGGGTTTTACCTTCATGGGTGCTTAAGTGCAAAGAAGAAAACTCATTTAAAGTGTCTATGGCCACTTACAAGAATGTGTGCCATTGGGAATGTGAAAGTACTGTCTAATGGTATTTCTAACAGGGTTTTGTGAAGGTGGTTATCAGTAGAGCTGCTTGCTTGTGAAAGTGTCTGTTTAGAGATCTTCCAGTGTCATACCCCTTTTTCTACTAGAAAGCCAAATGTAGGTTTTCATTTGCTTTTGATTTAAGGTTCTAGAGGGGTTTGAACATCTCACACAGTTGCATAGTTTATTTGTGGGAAAGAATAAGATCACAAAGCTTGAGGTGGGTGCCAAGTTTGCTTTTTTGTGTAGATGTGTTTGGTTATCACAAGTTGACAATTAAAAGATGAAATTTGTACTTGTTGTCAATAGTAAACTTTTTTCTCAAAAGGACCAAATGACTTGGTCATTTGTCTATTCCTGATTTTCAGGAAGTGTGCACAAGTTTTCAGTTAAAATTGTGATATTTTCTCACTACTGTGATAACTACTGTGACAAGTTGTTGTTATTTTTTTTTGTTTGTCAATACTCGTGGAAATTTTATTTGTTTTTCAGAATCTTAGTTGTCTCACAAACCTGAAGCTTCTTAGTATACAGGTAAGTGGAGTCAGAGTTAAAAAAAAGCTTGGATGTATTTGTACTGTTCAATTGCTGTAAGACTATCGTAATTTTGACAACAATTTTACTGTAGATGCTACACTGTTGCAATAATTGCATTTCAAATTGATTGTCTTCACATGTATTAACAAATCTTACAATACTTTGTCTGAATAAATAGGGGCATTTTTAACGGCCAACCATTTTTAAGCCAAGATATTTTTTTTACCTTTCAATGTGGGAGATGTAATGGTGGTATATTTTGTGTGGTGGACTTCAGGGGAGGGGTCAAGGTTTGAACTCAGGGTGGGTCATTGGGTTGAGTTATTGAGCAAAATACTCAACTCTTGCAAGGTCTCCCATCACCTGGAAGGGGGGGATAATTCTCCCTTCACTTAGGGAGGGTAAGTATCCCTTCACCTAAGGATGAGGGATAAGTCTCCATTCACCCAGGAAGAGGGGGGGTAACCTCTAGTGGACCAATATCCTCACCATACATGTGCTCCTAATGGAAAGCAGAGATATACTCTGGCAGTTTGGGCCACTAGGCTCAAGAGTAACCTTACCATGTCAGTGATCAAATTACAGTTAGATCGCACCATGGCTAGATCACTCCAACCTAAAGTTAAATCGCTCCACTTGAAAGTTAGATTGCTCCATCAAATAAGTGACTTCACCCCTGAACTGTGCAGAAAGAACAAATAAAGCCTCATGTAAGGGACTCATGAAGTGCAATCTACTTTATTAATTAAAGATGGTGGATATCAGTTTCCTTACATCAAACAGCAAGAAAGGCCACACTGGACAGTATTGGTATTTTAATGATCCTTTCCAATACACTTCAGACTAGAATGTTATAATTTATTCCACAATCATTTATTCCATCATTGCCATACATCATACATCAGTAGCGCAGTGGCTAATCTGAAGGACAGAGTGAGTACTATGTACTGGAATTGTTGCAAGATTCATTATGACCTATAAGCTTTAAAAATCATTGGAAAGTAATACTTCACATTACAACATGGAATAAATTAACTTGTGTTGGTAATGAAGTAACTTATTTGATGGAGCAATTTATTTATTTTATTTGATGGAGCAATCTAACTGGGAGTGATCTAACCATGGTGTGATCTAACCAGATACCTGATGATCTGTTCATCAGAACCTGGTCACATGTTCTGTTTTCTTGACAGTTTTATCATAAAAGGATAAAACTTATTATTTCTATTTTTTTTATCATAGAGTAATCGTATCGTTAAGCTAGAGGGTTTGAACAGTCTAATGAACCTAGAAGAACTCTACATCAGTCATAATGGCATAGAGGAAATAGAAGGACTTGATAATCTGGTGAGTGGAAAAGAGCTAGCTTTTTTATGTTTATGGGAGTCTTTCAAATAACATGAAAATTCCAAAGGTGCAGAGCCATGGATGTGGATTCATTTCTTGTCACTGTAAATCAATACCATATAGATAATCTTAAGGTAGAAAAAAAAAACAGAATAGCTCTGGAACCTCAAATCTCAATTCAGGAACATGACCTAATGAGCCAAGTGATATATTTGACATGTTTCCTAAAAAGTCTGCAACATGATGGATGGTAGCATATGATGCATTTTCAGTGACACATCTCCCACTCAGCAGTGCATAAGTTCTTGAAAGGTGTTGAAATTGGTGGAAATTTTTCTCAAAGTAGACTGGCCTCCTTCCATCAGGAAAAAGGGATTACTTTAATTTACTTTTAAAAAATTATATTGAGTTGCAATCATTATCGTGAACATCATGAACATCTCTTCTACGTTTCTTATGTGTCAACTATGTACACTGAACAGTAAGGACAGAGTGGGTGCTGTATTGTAATGCGCCCTTACCGTTACTCTTTTGTTTGCACAGACAAATCTTAAAACCCTGGACTTAGCATCGAACAGGATAAAAAGAATCAAGAATGTCTCCCATCTTGTCAACTTGGAAGAATTCTGGGTATATTTATTAACATTTGATTTTGTGCTAATTACTGGAGCGCTAAATATGTAAACTTGTAAAGTTCATCCTATTAGTTGAAAATCCCTATTCGTTAAAAGCAAAGCAGGCAACTATTTACAAGACGCAGTCAAGGAGCTAAATTAGGGACTGCAGTGAAAGAATTTCAGTTTTTTGGCTGGGAAAAGATTTGAACAGGGATAAACAGGTTTCCAATAAGCTACCCGCCCCCACCCAGGCACTTGGTATTGTCGTCTCTATTTTTTCACTTTTTAGTAAAAGCATCACTATTTTAATGGGTGACACCCCCTTCCCCCTCACCATTATTTAAGCGTCCAAGATCAGCAAAATGACTAAGTACAGGTACTTTGAAAGTGAGCGCTCTTTCCCATTAGCAAAATTGGTATTTATCAGCCACGGGGCGTTTGCTATAAGGTATGAGGAGCTCAGAGAGTGGGGGCTTATTACGACGTGAGAATAAGATGCAGGAATCATTTTAACAGAGCCCGTTCACAAACTCTCTAATTTCTTTTAGATAATCATCTATAATGCAAGGTAAATTATAACTGCGAGGGATTTAGTGAACGCACGGGGCTGGGGTGGGGTGGTAGTAAGGGTGGGTTTCGCGCTCATTGCAGCCGCTCGCCCCTCGCCTCTTTGCTTAACTATGAAACAATTCAATACCAAACAAAAACAGACACTGAAACGAAACGTTTGTCGCCTTACTGTTTTCGACAAACCAGCCGATCTATTGCTCAAATAATGAACCATCAAAAATTTAGGCCTGTCAGGGTTTTAAATTTCTTCGTTGTTCTCCACATGCAGTTCAATGACAACCAGTTAGACTCGTGGGAAGATCTGGACCAGTTCAAGAACTGCACCAAGCTCCAAACAATTTACTTGGAGAGAAACCCCATCTGGCGAGACACAGCGTACAGGCGGAAAGTTAAACTCGCTCTTCCAACAGTCACACAGATTGATGCTACGTTATGTGGATGATTGACAATAATTGGAGCAATTTTCAATTGAGGCGCGAAAGTCGAATCCAGGATTACATAAGATTTACCTTAATACGCTCTGTGATTGGCCTAAAAAACTTGAGCCAATTCGTCAGCGAATCAGAGTCAAAACTAAAACCAATCACGACTTTATCGCTCGTGTTTTCCCGCGCTCCATGCTCCTGGTCGTATTTCCTTTAATGCGATAGACCATTGTGATTATTTTGGATTTGGTATTCGAAACTCAATTGAAAAGTGCCCATTTGCTTGCGACGGACAAAGTCGGAAAAAAAACTTAAAACTACAGCTTTTCAGCAAGAAGAAATCTGAATCGTTGATGGTAAAGTAACACAAAACAAGAATTTCTGAGGACGAAGATTAGAAGCTAGAGAAGAAGGAAAAAAGGGTAAGAAATGGAGAGAGATTGATCCACATTATGAGTTGTTAAGGCTTAGACGTACATTTTCATCGAGGGAGGAGTGACACGAGGACGTTGGATGGTAAAAAGAGCACTAGTCTTAAAACATCAGATATATTTTAGGCTCTCAAATTCGTTGGCCCTAACGCTATTGGCACAGATTTTATTCATTTGCGAAGCTTTGGAAATTTTGATAATAAGAGACTTAAATAAAAAAAAAATTAAAAAAAGGGATGTTTCGAGACAATTTTTACGAAGTTTGCAAAGGGTCTGTCATAACTTTGCTATTTTTAAGATTATTATCTTAAAATTCTGTACACTTAACCGAAGTATCAAGTCTTAAGAATTGTTGATTGGAACCATTAGAAGACGCGGCCTCTTCAATTTGCGTGTGATTGCCCTTTAGCGTAAACGAAGGAGGTGATCTCGACGAAGGAGATGATGAGTTAACAGAAAGGAGCAACCAGGTTGTTGGCCGTGATATGTCGCTGCTACATTCCTCCACAAAATGTCCTCGTTTATGTACAGTATTTTGAATGCACTCTTCGTCTGACTTGCCCCCATTTTCAACGCTCCAGAAGTTACGTTACTCCACCCGCGGGAACATTTTTAGACGAATCAGGGAGAGGTTTGCCGGGGTCTGGCACTAATGTCAGTGCTAGACCCTTCCAGACCTCTTATCGGCTGCCTCATACTATCCAACGAGCGAAGAAACGCTCTTGCTGAAAGGCTTCTAATGGATTAGTCAAAGTCTCGCGTGACTCGCGACTCGCGTGGATAATCACATTAAACACCTTCAACTCCTTAATAGTTCGTGAGGGAACACGCTTTGCGGTCCTTCACACGCCTCTTCTAAGAATTCTGCGCGAAATGTGTTTCCGCCAGAATATCTCGAAGACCATGCCTCTACATTCATTTAATTTGAATTAGGTAACCACATTGTTATTGAAACAAAAAAAGTAATTTGATTTCACCTCTCACTGCGCACTTAATTAATTTCAAGAATTTTCATCTAGCCGCTTTCAAAAGACTGAAGAACACCAATTATTCGGCTACAAAAGATACAAGTCACATATTCTTCCTTTTCAAATACACACTGAGAAACTTCTTGTTGACTAATTCTCTTCCTTTTCGGTGAGTTAAGTCGCAATCATTTCCTTTTGTTTGTGACGTCCAAAACTACTTAAAAATTAAAAATACCACAAAATATTTGGTGGTAACGATATCAAAAGGAGCATTGGCAAACTGAATGGGAACTAGGATGAAAAAATAAATGAAGAATTTCTAAAGCCCAATTTTGCCAAGGTGCACAAACTATGCCCCCTTAATGTTCGTTTGCTCACACATACCACACGGTTTGAAAGAAATGTCACTTTAAATATATACGATAATAGTCTCGAGTAATTTCACGGTTTCGTTCCTTCGTTATCGGCAGGTATTTACACGTACGCCGTCCATATATGCAGCGTATCGTTTCTAGTATGAACTATCTTGTGCTCAATTTCGTTTCTCGGTGTACGTCTCTTCATCTTGACGCAATTTTTGTGAGGGAGATCCAAACTATTTTCGGTGTTTTTCTCAACTTCCCCACCCTCCTCGTTGAAAGAGTAAACATTTGGATTCAACATTGGGCATCCGCTGAATAGCGTTTCCAAATCTTGCGCAACCTTTTCGTACAGCGTAGGATCTGACTGAAGTGTTTGAGATTCACTCTCTGAAGGATTGGTCACTTTAGTACTTTCGGCTTTAGGGTTAAGCGGCTTGGTGTTCATCGCCTCTAACATAATGTCAGATTCTGATCTGTTAGTACCCTGTACAGTGCGCTTGTCTCTTCGTAACTCGATGTCTTCTTCGTACCTTTTCTCGCGAGATGTAGCTTGCGATAAAATGTCCTCCTTTTTGTCTTTTCTCGGGTTGTTCAGTTCTCTGTCTCCCAGCTTTGTAGCCCTGATGTACGCAATGTTGTGGAAAATCTTGCCGTACTCCTCTTGAAGTTCTTCCTCGAAATCATCCACGTAAAGCATAATTGTCTAGGACGTTTACCTCTTTTTTGGAAGACACTCAACGGAATCTCGGATGAACAATAGTGCTCTGATTTAGTGAACCCAATCTCAAGTTTTTCCACTAAAAGACTCCTCAGAACTTTTTAGAAACTAAAGCTCAGGCATGCGCCAATTAAACTGGTGTTGTTATGCAATGAGAACTCAATTATGTGCCAAAAGTCATGTCATCTTAAAGAAACAGAAGGTGATTACGTTTACAATAAGGGAAAAAATTATGACAATTAGAAACAGACCGTGAAAATAGTTCAGAGAATTACTGCAAAAAGAAAAACATGCCCAAATAATCCGGTTATCTACAATACGAGTTCGAAAATACCCGACTGATTGGTATGACGCCCCAAGGCGTAAAACGTAGTTTTAAACAAACAATTCAGTTGCCATAGGCATCAGTGCATAATTCCGGATCACCCAGAGTCCAGTTCCAGAGTATTTTGGATCAATTTTTTTTCTTGTTTTGGGTTTTCAAAAACTTGTTTGAGATCGTTCATATTTTCCACTGAAATTTTTATTTTTTTTTTGTTGAAAGGAGTGAAAATCCAACGTTAATCAACAGCGGTTTCACGGAGGTGTGAAACGACGCGGCGTGCCGTCCTTTTAAGAGCCTCCTGCTTTTAGTCGGGCGGGCCAGTGTTGGCGGTAAAATGGCTACTACAGTTTGTAGCTCCATTTTTTAAGCTATATCTTTTCTCCTTTCGCTGGCTTGTTCTCGAAATTTCATTACTTTCGCTCCTTTAGTTTTTCGAATTTTAGACGCGAGATGACGAGCGTGCGTGGACTCGTGCGTGTATGTCACTCCAAATCCTTAGGATCCACGCCTTGTTTTCCGTCCAACTTTAGTCCTGGCTCTAGCAAGTTTCAAGATGGCAGCCGAATTCTGTCTGAAGGCGGTACTCATTGTTTTGGAGGAGCTCACGAATTATTAACCACGATACATAACATCGATTCCTTTGATTATATTGGTGAGGAGTGAGAGATAAAAATGGATCTCCTAGGATCAATTCTTAACAGCATGGATGCTCCACCATCTACAGAAAACAAGAAGGCCAAAGGTATCGTGTTCCTTTGTTGATTTCCGCTACTCGCAAAGAAATTTGCCTGAACTTGTTATGAAATATAAATTTTTAACATACCTGTTTTCTGCGAATGGTATTTGGATCAATGTTTTTGTCATTTTTATACTTTCTCACGTGTGATTTGCGCTAGAATTTGAATCTGAGCTCACTGAGTCTAGAGAAGGATTGATCGCTGTTACAACAATGCTAGGAATCAGGTAGAAATCCTGAATTTAGTCACACAAAAACAAAAACAAAGCAAGTCGTTTTTGTCGTTATTTAACATATATATTTTAGATTTCAAAAGTGAAAATTACTTAAAATCAATTTCTACAAAGATGCAAGTCCTGCTCACTTCACCAAGTTTAAAATCCTCTCTCATAAATTGTGGGCTCAATAGTTTTTGTCTCATCCATGAAGATTAGCTTGAATGGCCTGGAAAACATGATTGGAAAAGGGATTTTCACTCAAAAGCACAGCTAAATTGGTTTTCTTGTGTGCAAATGTAAGATATGCAATCATGGATCACATTATAAGGGAAGTCTGTGAATGTTCTGAAACCCCCACCCCCCTTGGTAGATCGTGAATGCTCCTTGCATTTGCCTAAACACATGCACAACTTGATCAAGTGATAGAATGAAGCATTATTTTCCTTCACAATTACCTCAGCATTAATAAGTATTTTTGTTGAATTACAGAGGAGAAAGCCAAATTAAAGAAGCTCCAGTTGGAACAAAAGAAGAAGAATGCAGAATTCCGTTCAAAGGTAGGGACTCCTCTAATGTCATTATAGAGTTATCTTTTACCCCCTTTCTCTCCAAAGATCTCATAAGTAATTCTAATTAATCATTGATTTTATAATGTTTTGAATTTCTATGATTTGCATTAAGACTGAAAAACAAGTCAATGAATTTATAAAAGATACCAAAGAAACAAGACTCAAGTTTCCACCAATGACAAGAGTGGAGAGGAGTATTGTGTAAGTTTATAGGCATTTATTGTTTTATTGTCAGTTTACCTACTGTGAAAAACTTCATCTGTGTTTGTTAGAAATTAATCAAAAGAATTAACTGATCCTGCCTCTAGCAAAAAGTGAGAATGCCATGTTTGATAAATAGTAATTTATAATATACTTTCCTAGTATTGTGAAATTTATGAGACATTGATTTATTTTTTGTTGTTCTCTGGGTGTTCATTAGTAGGGGGAGATCAAAGAATTCTCTGGTTACCAAACAGACTTGTATAGCTAAACTTGGATGCCTAACTCAATTTTTTTCACTCAGATGTTTAGACTATTCTACACTACACTATCCTCTTCATATTGAATTTCTAAATAAAAACTCTGTGTTTCATTTCATTAGTCATGATGTTGCCGAGATTGCTGGTCTTACTACATTTTCTTTTGGAGAAGATGAAGTAGACAGATATGTTATGCTTTTTAAAAAGGTAAATATTCTTACATGCATGTAAAATAACAAAGAGTTATTTAAGCTTTGGGTTGTTGTTGTATTTTTTTAATTTCATTTTGGTTTGGAAGGAATTCTGCATAGGTAATCTCTTAATTTACAAATGGAGACTTGATCTTTTCACTCCATAGATCTTATCAGTAACTTGCCATACTGTATGCCATACAATTCGTATGATGTTAGTTCCGAGAATTTGATACTGGATCAACTGATAATCCCCCTTGTAATATTTTTCTTTATTTTCATCACATTTCTGTTTAATTTTGTATTGATATTGTAAGGAGAAATGCTGTCTTGGTCACTCATGGGAATTTTATAGGTTTAAGTGTCATGTAGCTGAGACACATTTTTCCAGCATTGTGAATTAAAGTTTTGAGATTTCTGTTTACTGTTTCTTTTCTTCATTTCTTTATACTCCTGTGATTGGATATCCTATGGATGGGTTAGATACCAGTATCTCAAAATGTTTTTTGTTGTTGTACACGTAACTTTGTTACAACTTTACATATTATGATTACCAAGTACTTATGACTACCTTGTTTATTTTATTTCCAGGAATTTCCTCCTTCTGATGAAGAACTTGAGGCATACAGGAATGGACAGGTAAAAAATTATTACATAAGATTTATATACAATTTATCTTGAGGAATTAATCTCTGGAGACTAAATGAACATTGTTTAGATGATGAGGTTGACAGGATTTTTCTGAGAATATTCCTCAAGCCTAATTGTTTTAGTTTAGTCACTCAAGTGGGTATCAGAACCAGGTGGAAGCCATTTTTAAAAGTATTGCCCCATTGTTACAAGCTGCTGCATAATTCTGGGCCAATCAGAATGCAGGCATTTTTACCATCACCTGAACAATCTGGCTATATGATTTAATTCAGATATTGTCACATTTACCAGAAATGATGCTCACTATTTTGATTTGGAGTTAACTTTAACTTCGTGCTTCTAATATCAGTGACTTAATTGAGCAGTGGTGTATCCTTCATTTTAATAGGAATTTGATCCGGAGAGTGCAGAAAAGCTCAAGGAGGCATCTGAGGTATGGAGTGCTTTTATGTAACTCTTTAACTCCAAGATCTCATTGTTATTTTTCCCTCTAGCTGCTAAACATTCCTCACAAGTTAGTCTGACAAAAATTTGGCATTAGATCAAGAAAAAAACTTCTAATGGTAATTATTAAGAGTATTTTAACTACTAGAAAGGGTATGAGGTTAAACCCTGGCTGTGTTTTTCCATGAACACTTTACTCTTACAGTCTCTCTCTGCCTCCACCAGCATTCAATGTGATTGGATGCACATCTGATGAACTTAGTCTGGCTCATTGGAAAAATTTCCCAAAAAATATGTCAACAAATAAGTGCATTTTCTATCATAGTTTAATTTACCCAGTTCGACTTTTATTTTCCTCAAATAATGAGATGCTCATTTGAGGTGTAATAGGAGTTTGTAAAAACAACAGTTAGAGCTGTGCCAAAAGGTAGTAATCACTGTGGCCAATCAGAATAAAGGTTAAATCATCATTAGCCAATGAGAGGGCAAAGTAAAATAGGCAAATTTCTGAAGGTGTGGTAAATCATGTGACAAATTTGTGAATGGTTTTAGTTTTGTATTTGGTTGTTTTAGAGGGAAGCGCAAATTTTCTAGACTAATCGCAACTAAAGCAACAGCGGATTACTGCCAACAATCAATTAAAAGCTTCAATCTATGAAATGAATTTGTTGTGTTGCAATATTTCTTGCTGTTATTGCAAATGAAACCCTCGATTTCATGTACTAGACCCAGATTTCTGACTCGCGTCTAGACATACCGAACATGCATGTAGCACGTTCTAAACATTTCCTACCACCCTTGTCATTATACAGAGTAATGTTGATGGTCCCAGTCAGGAAACACAGTGCAGGTCGTCAAAAGTTTCCAAACAAGCACCGTCCACATTTTACAAAGACAAGTACAGACACTTACTTGGTACTGACAGTGGCAAAGATGCCGCTAAGGCTACTAAAAGTAACTCAGCTTACGGTTATGGTAAGTTTCTGGTGAGGAAAAAGTAGTGTAACCTCTCTCTCACTCAAAACGTCGGCTTTAAAACTCTTTACGGAGGCCGATTTACTTTATCAACTCAGTTTATTAAACCAAATTATCTTATTCCAACTCTCCCTCCCCACCCCCCCCCCCACCACAACCACAGACGCAGTACCACAGTTTTTTAGAAACTTATTCCCTTTCTGATTACAACATTTGAAAGCAAGAGGTTGTATGACATTTACTTGACACGTGCAAAATGAGTAATTCTTAGATTAGTCAGTCCAGTCTCGCTGCCTTTGAGAGCTGTAAAGAAACCCATGACTTGTTAAGGATGACACTGTCTGTCACGCATATCAATCTTTTTTCTTGCTTGTTTGCTGATTTTATACTCTATAATCAAAGGAACTGACGTATAACACTCGTCTACCGGACGACACCGCTAGATTACGATACTGACTCTCGCGCAGGTTGTTGAAACGGGTTTTGTCGAGGTTTCGCTCTGTTGCAAGCTCGTCCCTGCGAGTTGACCCCCCTGCCACGACAACTCCACCCCACATGGGACAAGAATTTCGCTTCTAAGCCTTCCTACTCATTGAATTTTTCTTCACGCCACTTCACGCAAAGCCACGCCATGTTACACATGTCACTTTCCACTGTACCGTTCTGAGACAATCTGAAAATCACAATCTAAACCTGATTTTGCTGGTATTTTTGCAGTTCCCAGCGAAAACAAGCGGGACTTACGTTCAATTGAGGAGACTCTTAATGATATTCGTAAGAGGAAGAAGTTTCGCCCGGGTGAGGCTGATGATGAGGAGGATGATGTTGAAGCTGAAGACAGTGGCTAACCTTCCCGTTATAGTTCTCAAGGTTCTCGAGTAATTGTGGGAAATTTTTGGATTGTCTTAGAGAGGATGTTACCTTCCCAATCGTTCTGCCATCCAGTGAGCAGAATACATTGTTTTATATCGCCGCAAGGGTCGCTTCTAGCCAATTTTGATACAGAATTTAGCGATATTCAGTGAAAATGCGTCTTCTCAAAGTAGATTTGAAGTTGATCTGATTCTGTCACTCTGTGGTTAGTTTTAAATTCGATCTTAAGAATTTTTTCGTGATTTCTCAGTAGTCTTATCGTACAAGAACATGATGTAGTTGGAAAGTTGATAGTGATTGCCCCTGTTCGTAAAATTCGTCAGCTTTAATGGACGTTTTAATGATTCAATTCATCAACAGTTTTTGGAGGGCAAGGCTGATATTCAGTCATTTTAAATGAGCACATGTTCCCTTTTTCTGACTTCGTTTGTCGAGCTTGATTGTAGCTCTGCATTGGTCAAGAGGAGAATCGGCTTGTATCCTTCGACCAATCAGAGAGAGGGCCGCAGTTTTAACCAGCTAGGAACAATGGAAAAGCCACTCGTGACTTCGCGTTCTGCATTGTAATTTCCCGCCTTTGACGCGGGTTGCAACTCTAGCTTTGAGTTTCGATTGCTTCTTGATTTAATTGGCATTTTTCTGTGATTGGCTGGATGCAGTTATCTTGCGCTGAGACTTTTTCGTCGTTGGGTATTTAACACGTTAATGTTTGCTGAATATCTGTGAAACACCACCACTTTTTTCTACTTTTTCTGCTTTCCATATTTTTTGTAAGACATGATGGACATCGAATTTTGAGAGCCTGTAACTGCACCAATAGTGGTTATTTTACGTGTTTGACAGTTTTGAATGAATTTCATTTAGTATGTAAGTATAGATCTCTATCTCGTTATTTTTCAGAAGAATATAAGAAATTTATCGACTTATGTCAACCGATAGTTGTCTAGAGTATAAAACTCATCAGCTAGAATAATGTAATTTGAATAAGTTAACTTGCAAAAAATAAACAACTTGTGGCATTGTACAAATGAATTTCACCTTTTCCAATTTTTTAAGCCAGTGTTATTTACAGAATTTTTCTTGTTGAAGGACATCACATCGTAATTTGAACTTTTCGAGGATGTTCGCAAAATCAAGGCAGTGGTTGCATGGCAACACTTGATTGCCGGACAATTTTCAATAAAACGCCTTTTTAAGGTTCGTAACTCTGTTTTGAAGGATTTCGAATATATTTGCACTTTTGTACATTGTATCGTTCTCCCACTTATTAGAATTTAGGTATGACATATTTTCTTCCATAATCTTTTCTTTAGAAGGCAACAACGCGGCTTCAAACATCACGTAGGATGTGTGAATAGGGCGTTAGTGAAACCTTTCATTGGCCGATCCTAATGACGGAAACAACAGATCAGTTTGCACAGTTTTGGCACATTTCAGGAAGCATTTTGATTTTTATGAGACCATTGTGTCGAGCAATTGTGCGGCACCCAAAAGCAATTTCAAATTAATTCTACTGCGGAACGCTGCGAAACTATTAATTCGTGTAAAGAGACCGAAAAAGAGAATATTAGGTATCCTATTGTTGTGAGTTTTTAATATTGTCTTTGGTTGTCAAATTTTATGCAGAACCTCTTCACAGATGAAAATAATTTGCCTTCAGACAAATTTATTCGGTTCGAATGTTTGTTCAGGATGTTTGTTCGTTAAGTAAAAGTTCACCAGAAATATGACAACTTTGGGAAGAAACCTCGTTTCTTCTTCACCATTTAAAGAAATATTGTATATTTTTTTCATACATTCTGCTAAGAAATAGCGGCAAAGATCTAGTCAGATTAAAAGTGCTTCAAACTGAAATTCGCATGCATACATTAGTTTCGAAACCAGCTGCTTACAAAAGAGAAACAGAATTGTGTTTTTCATAAATGCCTGCGTGGAGCTTTTGAGTTTTTCTGCTTTTTTAATGCTCATTTTTATGCTTATATTTTGTCTTTGTGAAATGGAAATTGGTTTTCACTTGTATTTTTTTCTCAAGTGAATTGCGACATTTCCTGGTTATGATTCAATTTATGACGTTCAGAAATTAAACTTAGTTTTTTGAATAAAACTCAGGGATTTTCAAGGGGAAATTAGCATTTCTTCATAATAAAGATGATTTTTTCCAGAAGAAATTTGTAGATTTAACATAAGCCAAATTCAAGTTGTAAACTTTGTTTAGTGAGATGTTCGTTCCTGGGAAAAATTAGGTGCTTTATCATCTTTGATGTTTAATACTGAGGTAAACCGTAGCGGTTTTCAAGCCATGTAAGACATTTGTCTTCGATTTCTCGTGTGAGGTTCTCCACACTTTTACATTGCCTGGTTCTCAAGAGTTCGTCATTATTTTTTTCTTCGATTTCCGCTGATTTGCTGTAGTTTGCCCACTCTTTCCCTGAAAATGTGTACCTTCTCGAAATTTTAGGGAAATAATTTGTACGCGTCCACATACGAGTTGTGTCGTGTGCTCGTGTTGGCCATGTTCGTAGTTGAGTAATTCTGGGTTGGGTAGCGGAAAGCGGTCCAATGTCACTGAATCTTGATAAGTAAGAAGGTCGCTTGTTACATGAAGAACAACGTTGATTTTTAGCGGATTTTGTGCTACAGTACGTACTTGTTTGCGGTGTTGGAACAATGTTGTTGTTTGTTTTTATTCTGTTCAATTTAGCATCACTTTCATCTGCAGAATTGATGCCGTTTGTGACATCTTCTGATGTAGTTTTCGTCGTACCATTTTCCGTCGAAATTTCTTCATTTTCAGTCTCTTCGCTGTCTTCGAGAATTCGTTTCGCGTTGCTAATAGAAGATTGTACGTTGCGGATAAACCTCTGGGGATGAATTATCCTTCGTCTTGTTTTCTCGCGAAATGTACAGTTTGATTGCGATTTTTGTACTTTCACTTCCTCGGCGAAAGAACTCCCCCGCGCCTTCCTTTCTTCTGGCAAAAGATCAAGCCTGCCAAGTGAAATCATAGTCTGTTTCATTTCCTCAGACATTGGGAACAGCTCTGGAGTTCCTTTCCGATGTAATGATGGCTTTTCCATCGCAGAATTATTGTGTTTTCGTTCCCTCTTTGGCTTATGTCCATGATGGTCGACGGCTGTGCTTTTGTAGGTCGAATTTTTCTTCACGTTTGGTTGCTGCAGCGGCCTTTTCGTAAACATGTTTGCCAGCATGACCTGTCTGGCCACTTTTCGAAAATTGAGCGTTTCACTTGTTATTTTACCGTTTCTGTGAGGTATTTTTCTTGTCCTCGTCGTTGTCCCCCTAGTCTCCATTTCGGAAATTTTAAAACTCGTCATCAAGAACTGTTGCGAAAATTAAACAGCAATGTTCCCCTCTGTCTCCCCGAGCAGCAACAAATTTATGGCTTATTTGCCTAGCAATGTCTTCCACGTCACTAGAACGCACTGTTTTTTACCCGTTTCTTGCAACACTGAGTTAAGACATTTCTTCTAACAAAGAGATGTCGGTTTCAGTGTGAACTAAAGCACATGTGATCGGAACCGGAGTTAACCTTCGAATTCTGAAGATTCAAATCATTTTTAATCAAGCTCTTTGAATTCTCGAAATGCAAATAAAGGTCTATTTATCGCCAATTATGCTAAAAATAAATAAAGATCGCCGATAGCGCATTGAAATTACTTTTTCCTGAGGGTTATTTGACATAAGATGTCAATAAAACAGCGACCTATTTGGAAATCGGCTTTTGTCCCCCAAGTCGGTTGGTGCGATGCTCTCAAAATGAGAATTCATTATTCGCGAGACTCTAAATGTCGGTTTTTCTCGTGTGTTTTCGTTATTCTATTTTGAAAAAGTTTAACCCCTTAGCTCTCAGGGATGATAAACATGTAGTTTCTCCCTTTGATATCCAAACGTTACCCAACAAAAAGGTGTTGAGAATACTAAAACTTATCAGGTAGAAGTTGTTATTTTGATCGAACACCAAATTCTCGTAACTGATGAATAAGGAAATGTGTAGCAGCTAAAAGGGAGAATTATCAATCAGATCTTGGGAGTTAAAGGGGTAATTACTAACAATCTTGTAATTTGCATAATACTATGATGTAACATTGTGGTGCTAAAAATTCATTTTATAAAATATTTCATAATTAATAGAGGATAAAGAGACAGAACTCATACCCCTTTCCGACGACGACTGTGTAAAAATAATTTTAGCGCGCGTTCCAGTGGCGCGACCGTCTTGAGAGCCCAAGGCTAGTGGTTTGTTGTTTCGTGATACAGTTTGATGTGTAATGTTTGGTGGTTTGTGGTTTACGCAGCTGTTTTGGGGATGACACCTCGTTAATAATTTTTAGGAGGTGAAAACCTTTCTAGGCTAAGCCGTCCAAAACGCGAGCTGTGAAAGCGCTACCTTAGAGCTCTATGCTAGAACCCTGGGTTTCTATTTTACCCACACTCTATAAGATAAGAGGCGTGGAGGAAGTTGTATTAGAGAGTTGCAGTCGTTTATACAGGCAAATTGCCTCTCGGGTTTTCAATTCATAATTTATTTGACAGAATACAGCGGGGGAACCGTGCATTTTAGATTCCTCTCTTAAATTGTTACGTTAGCTAGAATTTCGCGCATTTTCAGTTTGTCTCTTTGACTGTTACTTTACAATCACGCGTATTTTTAGTTTACTTTCTTAGATCTCGTGCATATTTTGTTATCTCTCTTTGATGGTAACGTTTGTATCTTGCGGATTTCTGTTTCCTCTCTTTGATTGTTACATTAGAATCTCGTGCACTTTAAGTTTCTTCTCTTTAATTGTTTCGTTAGTATTTTGCACATATTTGATTCCCTCTCGTCAATTGTTATGTTAGCATCTGTCACATTTTTAGTTTACTCTCTTTGACTGTAACTTAAGGATCCCGTGCATTTTTAGTTTCCTTTGTTTGGTAGTTACATTTGTATCTCGCGCATTTTCAATTTCCTCTCTCAGATTGTTACGTTAGAATCTTGTGGATGTTTTGATTCCTCTCTTTGATTGTTACGTCAGAATTACGTTCATTGTTAGTTTCCTGTTTTTGACTGTTACGTTAGAAGTTTGTGTAGTTTTAGTTTATTCTCTTAACTTTGATTGTTATGTTACAATTTTGGTGCATTTTAGCTTTTTTATTTTTACGTCTGAATCTTTTACTTTTTATCGTTTCCAAAGGGTCTTGATATTAGCAGGCAAGTCAAGAATTTAAAGAAAGCGACAAAACTTTTGAGTCTGTAAAACATGTTTCGACAGAAACTTCTGTCATCTTCAGTTAAGTACTGTACAAGCGTTGAAAGTTGAATTATATAGTAAGTAGAACAATGCTAATTATGATGAATAGTGACAACAAGAAAAGAGGTAAAGCATGAAAGTGTGAGAATTAAAAGGAAAGTGTTAGATTTACATGGTGTAATTGCTGATTCAAGTATGGTTGTTCTCTTTGAATATGAATAGCCTCTTTTATCTTAAGTTGAAAGCCGGTAGAGACGTGATCTAAAACATGGAAGTTATCTGCTGAACACAAAGGGCGACAATGTGGAGAATCTATCAGATGCTTGAAATGTGAGAGGCTCTGTCACTGACTAAGTGCTCTCCAACACGTAAGATAAAAGAGGCTATTCACATTCAAAGAGAACAACCATCCTTGAATCAACAATCACACCATGTAAATCTAAAACTATTCATTATAATTAGCATTGTTTTACTTACTATATAATTCAACTTCCAACGCTTTGTACAGTAATTAACTGAAGATGACAGAAGTTTCTGTAGAAACATGTTTTACAGACTCAAAAGTTTTGTCGCTTTCTTCAAATTCTTTTACATTTTAGTTTTCACTCTTTCATCGTTACGTTAGTATATCTGTTGCATTTTTAGTTTCCTCTATTTGATTATTACTTCAGAATCGCACGCATTTTCAGTATCTTGTCTTTGATTGTTACGTTATCTTACGTATTTTCAGTTTCCCCTCTTTGATTGTTACGTTAGAGTCTCGTGCGTTTTTGTTTCCACGCTTTGATTGTTACGTTGGTATCTTGCGCATTTTTAGTTTCCTCTTTTCGATTGTTACATCAGAATCGCACGCATTTTCAGTATCTTGTCTTTGATTGTTACGTTGTTATCTTACGCATTTTCTGTTTCCTCTCTTTGATTTTTACGTTCAAGTTAGAGTCTCGTGCGTTTTTGTTTCTAGTCTTTGATTGTTACGTTAGTAACTCTTCCATTTTTAGTTTCCTCTCTTTGATTGTGATCCATTTCAGTTTCTTTCTTTGATAGTTTTTTAAGTATCCTGCACATTTTCATAATAAAGTTTCTTGCTATAGAATAAGTGTGGCTTGGAAAGTTTTTTGGCTTTCCCATTAACTTTTAGGGTTATCTTCCGGGAATTTTTTTGGTTATTGCTTGAGTTATTGCGTTCCATTATTATTGCGTTGACTTCTTCGTTTTATTTTCACACTTACGTTCGTATTTTCATCGCTTGCGTCTCTTTCGTATCTTCGAATTCTGAGGAGAATTCAGAAAATGTCATCAGGTCAAACGTGACCTACTCATACAGCGGCCTTTGTAACCTCTCCTCGTTGTTTCTTCCATGTATCTTTGCGAATCTAGTTTGGTCACTTGGGAAACCTATGATGTTTCACGAGGTTGTACTTGGAACATCCCGAAATAGATGGACCCCTGTTTTGAAGAGGTTTGTTTTGGTTTTTGATGCGCTTAAACAGGTGTCCGTATTCCATTCAAAAACCAGATGTACTTTATTTCCAGGGTGGAGATTAACTACAAGATAGAATGCAGATCTTTTGGGGTTATCGACATTTCCTAAGAAGACTTAAATTTTGTTTACATCAAATTTGGTAAGAACCATGCATTTTAGATTCACTGAAGTCGCGTAAGAGTTAAAAGCACATTAAATGGAAAATAAGAGTGTTTTAAACAGGGTGTAGTATTGCTGTGTCTACTTATTGAGTCAAGTTAAAGACCTTAAAATGGCTAAGTTGGCAACGATAATTGGAAACTTGTGCCACTATAGGCTCGATTTTCGCCGCTTTCTCGTGTCCAGCCTGTGCTCTTCCCCGAGAGTGGGTTCAAGGAGAAGGGGTGGGGAGAAGAGCGCAGGCTCACGTTCACGAACAGCGGCTGGTGATCAAGCCGAGGGCAACTATTGAGGTGAGGCAAAATAATGGTTATAGTGATACTTCAATCAATATTCTGTAAAGAATAAGGAACCATTTTAAGACCCTTTGACTGGAAAATTCAATTCAATACCACACTGTCACATTTTCCACTCAGACAAAAGGCAAGGAGACACATTTTGCCCTATTGAAATATATTTAAATTTTCTGTGCATTCATGAGGTGGGAGAAACACCTTTAAAAAAAATACCCCAAAATAACCTAAAATGTGCTTTTTAAACACAAGGTTACGGTATTTTTTTCAAAGGGAAACTAACAGTTCACTCGCATATGCAACAAAAAAAGCAAGGCAAAACAGAACAAAAAAAAAGTTTAACAAGCCATTTCTACTTATGTACAAGATTGTGTCCTAACATAAATACTTTGCATGCATTGATATGCATTATGGGTGACAAAAAAAATGTCTTACATGGTGAAAAATTTTTACATCCAAAATTCAGTTAAAAACTTATGTAAGTTGTAATTCTATGTGCTAATTTATGTTAGGCTTAAAACGTTCTGGACTAGTTGCATTATTTTTAACCTTATACATTTATAAATTCTACATTCTAATCAAATGAAAAAATTATTAGCTAAAGCCGATAAATAAATACCCAAAAAGTGTAACTATCAGTGTTGCCAATTAGTAAACTTTGCTAGGTTTAAGTCTAAATTCTATCTGGAGAAGAGAATTGTGTTGCCGTCATAAAAACTAGAAAACATGGAACATAAGCAAAAAGTACTATTAACAAGAGACATCCAAGTAATTTGTTGAACATATTTAAGCCTTGATGGTAACATTATCAAGTAAAAAAATTTTCAATTTACTTTTTTCAACATTGTTTTTCCTTCAAACTAGTCTCTTTTAGAAATCAATTTTTTTTGGACAAGATGTTGATTATGTTATGACAAACAAGGATTAAATATGCATTTAAGAGTGCTCTGAGCCCAGCGACAAATTCACATAACATTTTTACACACTAAAGTTAGAAACTGTTCTTGTTATTTTTGACTTTGAGACCATAATACAAGTTAATTCCAACTGGTACAATCTGGTCTTGAGGTCTACTTGCTGTTTGATTTGTCAGCTGGGCTCAGCAATTCCTCAGCGATCTGCCATTATTAACACAAATGCTATAATAGACAATGCCACAGTAGACCATCCTCCACCATATGACCAGCTGAAGAACACATCATCCTTCCAGTTGAAAAATGTGAAGACCAACAAAGCAATAACCACAAGAATGGCTACATGCAAAAATAGAGGAGATGGTTTAAGACAAAAATCAAAATCAAATTTTATAAGCCTTAAGGTGCTCCTTCATCATGAAAGTTAACACTTCAACTCCCAGAAGTGATTAAAATGTAACATCTCCCATTAATATCCATACACTATCTAGCAAACGGGTAATGAGAATACTTAAAATTAGACAGGTAGAAGTTATCTTGATCTGTTACCAAATTCTCGTAACTAATTAACAAGGGAATGATTAGAAGCTGGAGGGGAGAATTACTCAGATCATGGGAGTTAAGGGGTTAATAACAACAAGATCTAATGGTCATTGCATACCTGCTGCACAGAAGAATCCGCCTACAGTGAAGGATGGAAAAGGATGTCCCTTTCGTATTGCTGCCACAATGGCTATGATAAAAGCAATTAAATGGCAGATAAGGGCCAGAAACATCAAGGCAATCACAGCTCCATTCCAGTCTGAAAAACAGAAACAACATCCATCAGTACTCAAAACATTTTCATTCTTTGAGCTAGAGAGCCAGTAAATATTTCTGTCCCTTCCCATGGATAACCATGTTTGTTAACCCTTTAATTCTTAGAATTGATTAACTTTTAACTTCTCATTGCCATTCCAATACACGATCTTGAAAACAGGTTGTGAGAGTAGCAAACCTTGTCAGCAAGAGGTTGTTATCTTAATGTAACATAGAATTCTCCTGTATAATTTACAAGGAAACATCTAGCAGTCAGTTGGAAGAATAACTACTTGGATCTTGAGAGTTAAAGGGTTAAAGCTTATGACGGCAGGACATGATGGTGGTGTGGAGTAGATAAAGGTCCTAAGGTTGAATTCTGCTCTGCCTACCTGCTTGATTTTTTTTAAATTTCAGAGTCAACAGTCAACCTAATGGACTCCCATAGACAAATTTATTTACACAGAATCATAAAATGATAAAACAGATTTTGTAAATCATAACACAATTTCGTAAATCAAAAGAATATCAACTACATTTGTGTTGGGTTGCTATCAAGTGGCATGTGACTGAATATGTCCAAGCTAAAACTGGGATATGTCCAGTTTTTTTTTTTCATTATTATTTTCAAACAACACATCCAAAACCAGGGAGATCTCTGTTCAAAATGTACTTCAAGATTACAAAATGTTTGCTGTTGTTTCAGAAGAAGGGAAAATCTCCTTTCCTGATTAATTATAAGGCAGTGAATGTTTTTGACAGGAAAACATTTTTAAATATTCAGTCTCAAGAGGCACAAGACTTTTTCTAGAATAATAAAAATATCAGCTAGCCTCCAAATAAAAGGAAAATATATTTAATATATTTCCTTGCACATTATTTGCATGAGCATTTGTTGTTGGTCAGTTTTCCTTGAACTTCACTGTCTGTAATTTGTTTGCTTCTTGGAAAATATAACAAAGGTTTTTACACAAATGTCAGAGCATGTCTTAGTGCAAACTGAGGCTCCTGTTAAATTGAAATGCATTATATGTAATACTATGCACTATCACTGTTTATGTTCAGGCCAGAATATTATTTGTTATGGCATCACTTGATGTATACTACTTTCTTTATAGTTGTAGGCAATTGCAGGATTCTGTAACAATCATTTCTCTGTTTATTTTTAACATAAATGCATATGTGCTTCCTCCATAAAATATTTTAGGCAAAAAATCAACCCTGAAGTTTCTGAAAATTACACACTGACACATTCAATTAAGACAAGATCATTTGCTTCTGTAGAAGAACAATAAAGTGCAGTGGACAATTGTTCAATCAAATAAAATTTCTGGACAAGTTACCGAAGAAAAGGCATGTTACACTTAAACCACATAAAACTGGACTTAAAACGGATTATGCTGTTTTTTCAAGATTTCTTAAAATCACACTAGAAACCTATAAATATTTAACTTAGCAGTTACAAGCTGTTCTGCCTTTGCTCAAATGCTTCACCCTTGCAACAGTGCTAGTGGCAAATTAAACCTTGATCAATTTAGCAACATTGACTTGAAAGTCCCAGGAAACAGAAAAATTAAAATCCTCCTGTTGCAAATCATATCTCTTGTACCTTTAGATTATTTATTGACAAGAATCACCGCTATTTGCGGAAAATTCCAGAACATGCTTGTATTCTAAGAAAGGAGTATGTTTAATGTGTTATATAGAAGCTTTAGGCAATAATATAAAGGTAGCTCGTGGCATTAAACTAAAATTCGAAACATAAAAAGTTTTTTTGAACAACAAAGATTGTTACAAAGACTCGAAAACCTTTAGAATATGTATAAGAACTGTTCATAATTAGAATAATTATTCAAAACAACTGGTTGTAATTGGTACGAGTTAAAGTTTCGAGCCGTAATCAATCTCTAAACTCCACGTTAATAGAAATTTGTCATTGACAAAAGTTAGTCTGTAAAGTCAATTTGATGTTACAGAGATCTTTGTCAAGTTGAGAGTCTATAAGCAAACTTTATGTCCTAACAGTCAGTCAGGTAATGAACAACACAAATGTAAACAAGACACGCAAATATTTTTTCTTCGACATACTATAAATACCAAATCAGAAAAAGATGTACCTGGTCTTCCCAAATCGTGTAATTTAGTGCAGCTATCTGCAGCAACAACAGTGTTGTTGATCGAGGATTCAGAACAAGTTTGAAACAGGCCTTCATGGTGGTATTGTACACCTCCGATTTCCTTCGCTTCTTTCCACCACACTAGCCAAAAGTCGGTGGCAAGGGCCAAAATTCCCAACAGAATTGCAGCTAAACAGCTCACAAAGCTTGTTATGACTTTGATCATTGTTTAGTATTAACGCGTGCTCTCTCAGAGCTTCGCTTTCCCAAGAACGAAGTCACAGGGTGTGCCGATGGAAATTTGAAAAGAATCTTTACGTAGCGTTCTGCTTGATTACAATGCATACTTTCATTTATGTTCGCTTCACTTCACGCATAATATTTTACATACGTATGATTTTAGAAATTACTGCGCGGTGGTTCACTAGTTACAATTATTAGTAACTTTTTTCTGGCTATCTCACCGAAATCAAATGAAAGAAATCGTCACTGACAAATAGTTTCGTCGATCGCTGCTCCTTTTGGTTGTGGAGTAAAACACAAGTGACTAGAAAAACCTGTATGACGCCTACTTCACACAAGTAACCATTTTCAAACGTTGGCAAATCAACTGCTCACCTGATTTCAGTACATCTTGAAGCGTGTGCTTATCATTGGAACAGTCAGATTCCGCGCTTATGAGTTCGTCTGTAACGTTATCCCTTGATTCCCAACAATGTCTGAATAAACCTCGGTAATGAGTGATGTTTCTGTTGTGAGAAACTATCACCCACTGCAGCCAGTAGGTCGTGGCTAAGCTCAAAATGATCATCAGCATCGCTGCAAAGGCGCAGACAACCGATGCTATGACTTTGATCATGATAACACGTTTGTTGTAGCGACAGATCGGAACAGAATTTCTGAAAATCGTTCGAATCTGTTATACAGAACTGCCGTGTAAACTGAAACTGAACTCCGCTAGGATTTGTGGGTATGGTATTAATATGCGCGAACGGCGCGCGGCTCGTGCGGGTATCATGCGAGTTTACGCGCGGATGCGTGCAGGTACGTAAGCCAGGATCACGCTCGTGTGACGGTGGAAAAAAGCAAATATATAATTGTTGAACTCTGACCTCGGTTTGCTTCCAGAGTGGATTTCTCTGACATAAAATATTCAGTGAAGATCTGGTAAGTCATCTAGGGAAAATTGGACTCTTTTTCTCCCACTTGTGAATAATTTATTTCATGGGACGATTTAGGAAAAGAAACTCAGACAGACCTTTTTATTTCAAGTGGAAAGCAGCAAACGTGCCTCGATCTTTGATGGATCTGTGCGATTCTAGAATTTATCAATTTCTTGACACGCATCAAAACTTAGAAGTTCCTTTTGCAAGCTATAAAGCTTCACCAGTCAATTTTTCTCCATTTGACATTTTTTCCACTGGAAACAGAAAAAAACGAAGTTCTCTTTATTCTCATCTTTTTAGTTTTCAAGAAATTGGAGGTCCCAACTCGGTGCGTGATCAGTAAAATTACGTCATTGCTTATTCTGATCGATTGCTGTTTTCTCATGGGCAAAATAACACGACCGTTGACAAGCCTCTCGATTGTTGTTACGTTATGTAAGGAGATAAGTTCAAAGGAAACTGTACACCTTTTCTCCTGCCTTACTTAGTGATCTGCTTCTTGGCATAGTAGTAAATAAACCTTCTCGTCGCAATATGCGAAATAAATCGATCTTCTCCACGTCTTCCTCGCCGGAATGGACTGGAACAGTGAATTCTGATAAAAAGGTTAGTAGTTATTTTTAAAATTTTCAGGTCTAAACGAAACATTTCACGTGCACCTTAACGACGTGAGGTCAGCTAAGCTTATTGCTGGTGGTGGATGCAATGATCGAGGATCGTTTTATTGGTTAAGACTCTTTTAGAGTTGAATGCTCGTTCACCTTCAGCCTCGCTGGTCCTAGCGATCGTACGTACTTCATGTTTCTTCAAAGGTCACGAGAAATAAACTTGAGACCATGTACTAAATTCAGGCTGCGTGGTTGCGTAACGGTGTGTACAAAAAACTGAATCATTTTCGCTCAAACTGTTTTGCAAATTTAAAAGGCGAGGCATAAGATCTACTTTCGTCGCGTTTCAATACGGTTGAATTTGTAGGCCTTAGCGATCTTCGAGTTTTTGCGTGCTTATGTGTCGTACGGGAGGTGAGGGGGCGGTTTCGAACTTCCAGAACTTTATGTCAAAGCAACATGAGGTTTCTACGGCATGAAGTCGAATCCTGTTTTTTGTCTCTTCAAAGCAGCAATTTGCGTTTGCGAAGTATTAAACGGGTCAATTTGTGCCCATATTTAGTGATAAAATTTCCAAGTCCATCTACCTGGGTGGACAATCAACATTAAAAAAAAATAATTTGTGACAGGAAATGGTCGTGATCACCCTTCTAAATCTATTTATGTACAGGAATCTGCGAGACAATGTTCTGAAAATAGATAAATGATTGGATGATAAATTTGCCCGGAAAAAGGAAAAGGTTCTAATAAAAGCAAGTTAGTTGTTTCTGTTCCAGTCAGAGCAAAATTGAGAGAACCGATTCAATCTGGTTGACAATTGTTTTTACCCTATGGCCTATTGATAAAGTTGCAATTCCCTAATCTCTTTTTCAGTGGCTTAATTTTTTTTTCAATGCGTTTAATTTTATTTGCTGATCTTTTTCCCACTTATTTTCGATCGTTTAGATGGCCAGCGCTTTGGATATTCACCGTGGCAGTAGTGAGTCTGTGAGTGTTCCCATTTTGAGAGCAACTGAAGTGGGTGAAAGATGGCCAATATTATTGTGGTTCTACTTGAAGACATTGGGGCTTTATCATTCTGGTAAAGGCGTAACTTCCCTTTTTACCTTTAAATCAACTTAAAGCCTTCCATAGTAAGGTTTAAGTTTCCTTCTTCTTGAAATATTTATGAAATATTTCTTGTTTTTATAATTAATGCTATTAGTATTCTATTGCATTCTTCAAACTTTATTTTTGCCAAGTTTTTCTGTTCTCAGATGTTTGGCATAAAATACCAAAGATGTTTCCTGATAAGTGTCATTCCATTTAAACATACAAAATTAACTCTTTTGAGCTGTATGTTCATGTTTCCTGTTTCTTAAAAAATAGCTGTTATTTGGTTTCCTTTACTTGTTAATTGTCATCTGACTAGTAATTCTCCTATTACCTTCAATAATAATATCCTGCAGATTAGTTGAGAGAATGTAATATTATCCAAAAAATAGTGTCCTTCAAACGTCAAATATTTCTATTCTAATCACTTTGTTTTCAGGATAATATAGATTAGTGAGGGAGAAGACTTGCTTGTTAATCATTTTTGGGACTTAAAGGGATTATTATTAACATATGAATTATTAATCATTCTTGTGTGCTCTGAATACAGCAGAATGCCTTGTCAGTCATGTCATGGGTTCCATGTTCATTTTGATACCGTTGTGTTATATCTGATTTATCTTTCTCCCTTCAGGTTTTCTGGTTCGTTCCAAACTATGCAACAGATGTGCAAAGTCAAAGACACACACTGCCTTCTACTACACAGATAATCAGTGTAAGGTGTGTGACAGCCTGACTTGGGATTACAAGGGTGTGCCAACTGTTGTCACTGACAATGAAATAGGCTCATCATTTCTGAACCACTGTGGTAGTGGATTTCTTTCAATGATGTGGCTCCTGCTTATAACTGGTATCACATTGGCTAACATTGTGCTGTTGATTGCAAGCTATGCAAATTCTGGCTGTGATATTGTTCATGTGCTTGCTTGGATTGGAATGAAGCTGTTGCTCTACATTGGTCCATTCATATGTTTCGTTTCTGTTGTCCACGCCACATGGCCAAGTGTATTCATGGGGAGCTGGTCAAATGCATTGGCTGTAGAGTTCCTTGTCCACCGGATGAGATTTGTCAACATGAAGGATAAGCAGTTTGCTGGTTATGTCCTCTTTCTTGGGAGTGTTGTTGTGATGGGCACCCAGTGTCTGAAGATAACAGCACCATATTTTGACCCAGAGCTGGTCTCGCCCATGGTTGCTAATGAAACACTTTCTAGTCTAACGACCTTAGTTCCTCTTCACTTTTTTGTCATTGTAGAAGGTTACATTAATTTTGGTGGATTTTGCTACATAGTGTACCTTCTGCGTTGCAGCTATGAGTCGGAAATCAAACTGGTAACAAAGTTTCTTGGAGAAAATATTGACAATATTGATTTGTGCAGAGCTCGTTTGGCTGAAGCATTTGATGCCTACCATATATTTCGTGAATTTTCGTCAGGTTGGATTGCACTGAACCTAATTTTGTGCACAGTCTGTCTTTTTCTGGAGTTGCATGTGTGGATTGTGAAGACTGATCCACTTTCCTTTTTTCAATATGTGCATTCATTTCTGTTACTCTTCTTTTTAATGCTGCCAATCATCTCTCTTGGAAATGTTGATGTTGATTACTTGTGGAATCGCTTGGTTCGCCAAGTCAGTCGTCAGAGGAAGTCAGAGCAAGAAGATTCCTGGGATAAAATTATGCAGTTTCTTCAGGAACAGCGTGCTGGTGCACGTCCCTGGCAAGCCGTTTTGGCATTCTTCTTGTCAACTATTGCAGTTTTCTCTGCCATTCAGTTCAGACTGTGGTCAAACAATCAGAATATTGTCAATGTATATACAATGACAAATGGCAGTTTATCCTTAATGCAGCAATCTCATTACTCATGAAATTCAATTTTCAAATGGCATTTTTTTGCAATGTTTGACACAAATACAATGGTTTTATACTGATCACATTCTTGGTAAGATTACTGGACAGTTAGATTTTTTAATTGTTTATTAATCGGAGAGGATATTTTTATTTGTTCAAAGAAATGATTGGGGCTGGAATGAAATGTACTCTTGAGGAGTTGGAGTCATGAGATAAATGTCACCTTTTCAAATTGTTGGGACTTTTTAACTAATAACAATGAAGATTTGCTTGGATGGACATAAAATTAAAAGGATGTATCAGTAATGAGTATTTTGGAGAACTTGTTGTCTTTCATATCCTGTTCTTCAGTTAACCCACTAACTCCCAAGATCTGATTGTTGATTCTCCCCTCTTGCTTCTACTCATTCCCTGGTAAATTGGTTACAAGAGTTTGGTGATAGATCAAGATAGCAACTTCTACTGGATAAGTTTGAGTAGTCTCATTACCTGTTTGCTCAATAATGTCTGGATATTTTATAGAGAAGTTATTTGTTAATCACTTCTGGGAGTTAAAGGGTTAAGTAAATAAAAACTAGGAATTGTAAGAATTGGACAATAAAAACTTCAAGTCAATTTTTCAGATTATGTTTATTGAACTTTGTGGTCTGTTGATTTAAAAATTTTAAATTAGAATTTTCCTGCAGAATGCTCAATATAAACAGCTGAAACTTTCTTGGCTTTGTTATTATTATGTTACACAATCATAAACCTTCCATATCTTTTCTAGTAAATTGTGCAATCTTTTACTTTTGATAAAATATTAAATAAAAGTTTATTCACAATGGATACTTCTCACATTAACATATTGAAATTCTCTACCCTTCCATGTTATAACCTTTTTTTTCATTCTAATAACTTCTACTTACTATGTATATCAAAATATTTCCATCCCTATCAGGGATGGATCTACAACAAATTATACAGTAGAACCTCCCAAGGAAAACAAAATTGTTTGAGTTAGCAGAATTTCAAGCTAACAGGAAATGACTGAAAAATGGGATCAAGGGAGATTGGATCTTGTTTGAGTTAGTGGGGGAACAAAAATTGGTTGAGTTAGTGCAGGTTTGAGTAAGCTGATAGTAAATAACCCAAAAAATAGGTAGAAGGAAATTAGATCTTGTTTGAGTAACTGGGGGGTTTGAGTTCACTAAGTTTGAGTTAGCAGGGTTCCACTTGTACTATGTGGTGGAGATGTACATTAATTGAGTGATTTTGTTTGCATTTTAATAAGTTCTTACAATACCGGTAAACAATTAAATAAATTTTGAGTGAGAAATTTTGAAATATATTTTGTGCCTTGCAAAGCTGTCAATGAGGTTGAGTGTATTCCATAACCTCTGATAATAACACATTTGCCATTGATATTAGGGGAGTCCTTGCCATGTAAAGACAATATTAAGTTAAATAAGCCAAAAGTACTTTGATAAATTGATTAACTTATCTATTATGTTTTCAAAGTCATCCTTAATATTAAAACCTTAGTTCAAAGGCTCAGTGGAAAAACTGAATGATGTAAATTTCTGTACATTCCCCCCACCCCACCCCTCCTAAATTGCCTTAGTTTTCCTGGCATGTGGCCTGCAACTCAGTAGACAAACAATGTCCAGCAATTTGCTTTTCATTTTCTCAAACTTGGGTTTTTGTTTGTTTGTTTGTTTTTCTGTAGGCTGAAAGTGTCCATCAGGCTTAGTGAACACAGGTCCCTCTTAGTTCTTGCAATTAATGTTTACTACTAATCTTAGTCTTCATCCCCCATTTCAGTGATACAAAAAAGTTTCTTTTTTAGTCTTGTAACTCTGCTGCTACCTCCGCTGCCTCCTGTCCCAATCTCTATCCTGTCCTCTTGCCATTGGGTGGTGGCTTCTACCCCCACCCCTACCACCATGTCCTTGATGCTGTCTTGGGCTTTCTTCATCAGAATATTGTTCCAGGTCTGCAGACTCTTCCTCAGGATAATCAGGAGATTGTTGGTTCCACTTTGCATTACTGACACCTTTATTTTTTGTCATTTTCTCTGAATATGATCCTTGCTGTGATCTGATGCTCTGGGTTGGGAAATTGCGTCTAGGACTTCTTCCCCCAGGTTTAGGATCATCCATTGGGTGACTGAGATGTGTCTTTCTTGTTGGATGCATTTGATTGGGGGGTTCCTCATCAGCATACCTGTCTTCAATGGGCTGTTGCCGCCTTATTACTTGTTTGCCTCTTGCTGCATTAGTATAGCGTTTATTATAGTCATTGTTCTCTTGCTCTTCAGCACTATAATCAGAATGGTAGCTCTCATTGTCTGAAAGTCTTCGCCTTTCCTTTGGACGCCCACCAGTCAGGACCATGTTGTTTTCCATGCCATACTCCTCCTCCTCCTGAAAGACAGGAACCTTTCCCTCTACTGACCACTGAAGAATACAGAAATCACGACTGCCAGTTGTTATGAGGTAGGTGTCTGATGATAGGAAGAGCATCCGTGTGACAGGACAGCTATGACCTCGCCACTGGTGATAGTGAGCCTTCAAAAAAATATAATCATAAATGAACAATAATAATACTGACAAGTGCTATTGGCCAGGTGAGATGGTATTGAAAAGGGGTTGTCAGTGACAGGGACTAAAATTTCAATAACATGTGATTGGATAGAAGTCTTCATTTAAGTCAAGTGTTGAGTCTGGTTTTTGATAACTACTGATTTTCAATTAGTTGAAATAAAATGTTGTACAAGCATCAATTAGTGTCCCCAACACAGCCTTTTTTTGGACTACCCTTATAATTAAGCAGGTAATCACATGAAATCATTGAATGTTACTCCACCTGTTAACTAGATAACAGCAATTTCACTTTTATTCATAAAAATTATAATAATTACAAGGAAAAAGAAATACTAACATCATGATAAAATACAATACACATATAGAAATATGCCAAGTCTTATTTTGATCTAGACTTTGAATTTATCCTCATCTTGAAGGAGTCTTCAACATCTTAGTTGAACTTTACGGTTACAAAGACTTCAATAAATGACTTATCACTCACCCCTGGTTGACTGCACGGGAATCTAAACAGACGGATATATCCCAACTCATCTCCTACAGCAAAAATATCACGTGACCATGACAGGTCAGAACTATTCACTAAATTTCCATCATCTGGTTGAGAAGGCCACACTCCTGCATAAGTAAGTGATGAAAGATATAGGAATTATCATGAAAAAAATGTTTCAACTGTTAAAGAATATTCTCTACAGCTGTCAAAAATTTGCCAGCCATTGGTGCAGAGTTTCATAAACTTAAAGGAGGTATCATCCCTTGGATCCTTGTACATTACAATAATTCTCTTTATTAATGGTTTGTACTAGCATTTTGTCACATTTTCAGAGCAGTAAACTGAACTATGTTATTGATAAATATCTTTGTCGTTTTGCCTTTCCAAAGTTATACACTTTACCTGAGACATTGGATTGGCTTTGACTTAAGACCTCATGTTCTTACCATCTGTGTAGTCTAATATGAAGGCTAGGAAAATGGTAAAATTTTTCTCACAATTTCACATTTTTCATCCAGCACCCACTTTCCCCATTTCATACCTGCTACATCATATCCTAACATGACATTTCTTGTGGACCAGTCAATATCGCGGATAACATCTTGTGACTCTTCTCTCAGAAATCCACCAATCTCCCCTGAAAAAGAGGATTAGAAGCACATTAACCGAGGTATAAAGTTAATTCTCCCAACTGAGTATGGTAAATTTCTTTGTTATTCAATCAAGCTGATATTCCCTCAGTGATATTATTTTCATTTTCTTTATCCACTTGAATGAAGGTTAATTGGACAGTCACTTTAGGAAGGACTGGCAGATGAAGTTTCTTTAATTCCACAAGATTTATGCTGAGCAACATTCACTTTCGCATTGGTAAGAGGAGGAACAGAAAAACATTTTTAATTGCCACAGCAAAAGTTTGAAACACCATGGTGGGAGTTTACACCACCATGGTAAAGGTGAGGTGTATATTATAGATAAACTTGATTCACTTACAAACAATGTGTTCGTAGTCAACAGACAAACTCTGAAGGAAGCAGCCATCAAGAGACCAATCCAGAAACATAATTGGTTCACTATGCCCCTGTTGGGAGAGAGAGAGAGAGAGATGATTGGATTCTTCCCAATAAAATTCAAATGCTTTTCTTTCAGAAAATAACAACTATAATTTACAGCTAACTACAAATTGAAATTTTGAACATCTTTTTGGTCAACTTGCCCTTCACCAGTTGGTCTGATGAAGGGCTAAAGCTTGAAATGTCAGCTTCAAAACTCTTTATGTGGCCAATTTATATCATCAACTCAGTTGGTGATGATAAATTACATCTGACTTGAGTGTGTATGGACTTACCGAACATGTGCCAACTCTCCTGTAAGTTGTACCCTCATCATAGACTGCATGAACAGAAATATTGCCATCCTGAGAGGCAATAGCAATGTGCTCTCCATCTGATAAAAAGTCAAACAGTTTTACTTTTATTTATTAAGTTCAACATGTTTTATCATTCAGGATCATTACTGAAGTTCCATGACCTCACATTTCTCACTCATTTCATATCCAAAAAGAGTTATTGAAATAATGTTGTTCAACTGAAGATGATTAAGAATAGTGCTTTCAGTTAATTACACTTAAGCTACATGAAAATTTATCTTAGTCCATAAAATACTACTGAGCAGAGAATTAAGTCAATCCTATTCCTAGTTAAAGAGCTTAGAAATTAAACCAGCCTCTATCACAAAACAAACTAAGAAACTTCTCCAAACATCAAGTTCTTAACCCTCTAACTCCCAAGACCTGATTGATAACTCTTCCCTCTAGCTGCTACACATATCCCTGTAAATCTGCTACTGTATGAGTATTTGGTGTTAGATCGTAATAACAACTCCTACCTGATAAGTTTGAGTATTCACATTACTTGTTTAATGGATAATATATGGATATTATAGGAAGAAGTTACATGTTGATCACTTCTGGTAGCTAAAGGTTTAAAGCAATAAACTCACGTGGATTGGTGCAGCCATGATATGTTTTAGTCAGGTGAAAAGTAACCATACCTTTAGCATATTCCAGATCAGGTAGAGGGTCTGTTCCATCTTGGAATGAAGCAATGTGCATACCCGATTCACACGACACCACAATCCACCTGAAAAAGTTGAAAATTTGGTGATTAAGCAGTTTCTAAATAACAACCAAAAAGTCTAATTTTACTCTAACTTATACCTTCCCACAGTTGTTCCCAAAGCTAACACATCACCAGTGGAATAGAAAGCTGCTGATTTGACAGGAAACTAGAATAAAGAAGATCAAAATTAATAATTCATTCAGTGCTTGAGATCTTCAACTGTTGATAGTCCACATGTCTGAAAAAGGTAATTAATCTAAAGGTTTAATCTAAACACAAGCTGAAAGGCCTATCCATCTGGTGCTTATCCTAGTTCTACAGCACTACGCACAGTTTGTTTAATTCCTCTGGAGAGATTTTAGTCCATCACAAGTTTTGCACCCTCTCCCCTTCTGCCCTGCATTTCATCAGCTTTCATCAAAAGAGCACTAATACCCATTTTCACTCCTGAGAAAAGAGAGT